AGGGCGTCCGTCCGCCAGCCAAGGCATCCGTCGACCCGATACGAAAATAGAAGTTAATAAAAACGCCCACAGATGTCTCACCAAAATTACAAGCTTACATTGTGCGTCGTAAAGCAACACAAACAAGTCGCCGGGCATTTGCAACATTTCACCGCTGGCTGTTTCGTGGAACTTGCGCGGGGCGGGCAGAAAATTCCCGAAATGCGACTTCAAAGCGTCTCGAACGCCGACCCGAGAAATTTTTGTGGCATTTAAGACTGAAATCGTCCAACTTCGCTGCAATAAATAAACTTCAAATGACTGCATTCCGCAGATCCTGCTTTGTGCGGTCTGGCACAAATTTAGCGATGTTTCATAGATCATTGCCCTGGTGATGGAAGCAGGAAACACATCCGAAACGCAGCGCAAGATGCTGGAAGGCAGGATCGTCATTCGCACTCATCGCCTCGAGAACCAGGAACCGCACAAAGAACATCAAGTCCACCGACGCAGAACAAAGCTCGCCTTTTTAAACATTCCATTTCTTCTCCAGTAACCATTGTCACAACTCCCCCCCTCCCCGACTGCCCGGAAGGAGCGCACTGATCCCGCAAAATTACGTGCACCCGGTCTCATCAGTGTTGCCAGCAGATGAAGCTGAAATTACCAACTAATGAAACGGTAAAAGTTGCGAAGGAAATTAATTTCTACTCTGAAGCGACATGACCGCGAGGCGTGGGTCAATATGAAGACACTTCAGCCCTGAAGATGGAGACATTATGTTATACCGAAACGTTGGCGTGTACCTACACGGCGTTATTTCCCAACACCGACACCTTGACCTCAGTTAGAAGCTCACGTCTCATTTCACAGCGACCTGACATCTGGTACTTCGAGATCCGTGGCCACGGTCGCCCTGACGCAGGACATGCCACTGACTGCCGAAGCAAGTGTCAGGGTTTTGCGTCATTGTCACGATCAGCCCCACCCCCCTCGATTTGCTCGTCTTTCCGGTAGGCTGCGCCCTTTCATCGCCCGCCTTTGTACGACGAGGGTCTGCTCGCACGTACGCCAGAACAATGCAACCCGTAAAGCAAACTGATTGTGTTTCGGACAGAAGGACAGGATTAATGGCCGCTCTAGTACGACACGGAGCGGCCAGAGGTCGGTCGGCTTTCGGGTTCAGCGTCTGCATCTTGCAGAACAAATCGGTAGGTACACAAAAACTGGAACGCCGACGAAACACATTATTACAAGGTCACGCAAAATAAATCATGTTCCTATAGTTTTGTTATAACCATCGTGTGGTATAAAAACGACCTTTGGAACGTCAGTGCGCTCCAAAAAGTGCTCATTTCCAAACTACTTGTCTTTGAAGTACCGCCCGAGTTAAACTAACTAACTAGATGGCTTACCGAACCCGAAGGTTCATCACCGAATTAACCAAAGCCCTCCACCGGACCCTGTCCTGGGCCAACAAAATCCAGTCTCCTTCAACTCCTATCTCCCATAGATCCCGCCTGACTTTATCCTCCCATCTACGTCTAGGTCTCCCCAGCGGGCTCTTCCCCTCAGGTGCACGCCTGCTGTCCCGTCCCTACGCCAAATGTTTTGGTTACCCGAGCAACAGCGACCGACCTGCGTGAGTTGACGCTTCGTTACAAATCAAAACAAATGAGCTCCTGTTTCTGAGTCCTCACGAGGTCAAAAGGTCGATACGGGACTGCGGCCTTTTCGTAATTCGGCCGATGCAAACGTTTCGCGTCCATGTGTTCCGTTAACTGCGTAAAACATTGTTTTTCAACAGGGGGTCCGCGACTTGAGTAGATTTTATTATTTTTCTCATGTTCCCTCATTTTTCCTTTAATATAAAACTAACTCCATGGAGAAAAGTCTTTCTTGCGACGCTAAAAGTACGCCCAGCTAATCAAAAAATTCCCTACATTATTTAATTACCATGATCACAAGAGCCTGCCACCTGTTTCTGTATTCTTAATTAATATTATTTTTAATATTATCCCCTCTCCTACGGCTAGGACTTGTTGTTCATCCAACATACGAAACGGAAACTTGGGCCCAGTGCGCCTTGCTCTGACGACCACGGCGACAGAACCAAGTCCTCCTAGGATAACAGCCTTTCATTATTACGCGAGCAAAGCAACACGTTTCGCTTCCAAATCATTCTTCATCGGGAACGATACAAGAAAACATTACAGTAGTCTACTACAAAGATAGAATAAATCTCCAGTTCCTGAGTAAAGTCAAATAACACGAGAACAAATTTCTCTTCGCTCTGCGCTGATCAGGAAGGAGAGAAAGCGCTCAAAATCGTCTCAGCTCTAATTCCGGACGATCACTCGTTCCTGTTGGTACCCCTGACAGAATTTAGGTTATTTCCTGCAGCTGAATAAATGCGGACGACAAGTATTTAAATGAAATTAAAATTACAGCCTTTTAATTGGTCTGTGTTCTGCCCGAGATCACAGGCCGAACAGCGCTCGATGTTTCACGGCGAACGAGCGAGTATTCTTCGCCGCTGTAATTATTTTACGACGCACATACGCCATGACAGCCGACATTTGAACTGAACTCGCTGCTGCCGTCTTCACCCGCGAAAGTCCGTAGCTCGAATACCGTGGAATACCTAACCTGTCTTGGCAGTGTTTCTTTTTTTGGGGGGGGGCCTCCGTGCTTCATAAATAATTGTTGGTAAAGGGGGGAAAAGCCTCTTCGTGTCTACCCGTGCACTGAAAAAACCTCCGGACCGGGATACGAACCCAGAACCTTCCAAATACAAACTACTCGACGATTACGCGATACCCTCCTGAAGAAACCGGGTGGAGCACTTCAAATTAAGCGACGCGCCTTCGTCGTGTGAGGACGACGCCGACGTCAGGTTCGCGACGCTTCTTCGCCTAAGCCACTCGTGTATCGGCGTGCATACCTCGTCGTAGATGAAGTTGTCGATCTCCTCCAAGGGGCGTCCGTAGAGTCGGCCGGGGAACGGCTCAAACTTCCCGGGCAACACGGAGCCGTCCTCCACGCTCAGCTTCCTGCGCGGCTGAAATCCGTATTCCTTAATCAGCTGCACCGTCTTCTTCTCCATCCGCTCCAGGGATTCTCGCGTGAACGGTTTCACCTGGGACTTGACACCCTTCCCGCCGCCTCCGCCGGGGGCGGCACCGCCCCCAGGCCTGGGTCCCGCCGTCGTGGCGGATGGTCCCGGCGGGCTGGAAGTGGCTGGAGTGTCGGGCATTACGCCTCACATAGCTACAGTTCGACTCCAACTGACTGCGGAGCGCGAGCAGCGGGACGGCACGGATCGGTTCGACGCTACTGCCCGGACCGGCGCGCCTACACACGGCACGGCACGGCTCGCTCGCTCGCTGGCTGGCCGGCTCCCATCTCACGGCGCCCTACAAACAGCGTCGTTAACCGTTTGAGACACGAAGCTCGTCAGAATAACATTTAAGCATTCGGTCCGTACCGCGAAGAAAACACAGCGCTTCACCATTTGAAAGATCAACTGGTTAACGCTGTTTATAATGAAAATCATACGAAACTGATAAGAACAACTTTCTGCGAGAAATGGAAATGTCACACGAAGAAATGCCAAGCAGTCGGCCGATACTGGCCTAATTTGGTGAAAAGTAAAGTAAATTAAATTGTAGAAATGTGAAATTAAGTGAAATAATGCGGGCTAAAGTGAAAACAATTTAATTCGCTCGATAATTCTCCAAGCCCACTGAGAAGTTCTTGGCACGATAATCGTGAACGGGCAAAGAGGCGCACATTACCCACCCAGTGCGCCTTCCATCCTATGCAGTCGGCGCAAAGTCGCAAAGAGACAGGGAGTTGCTGAGGAAGAACCAGGCAGACGACGGCGATTATGAAGATGGGAGTCTTCCGGTCTGTTGCCCCGTGTTTCCAGGTAGAAATGTACCGTCGTTTCGAAGATATCATAATCAGGACCCTGATAGTGGAAGCAGCGACCACCTCCGAAACATCAGTAAACCAGACGTCAGCTACCTTTAGCTGCTGATGAATTTGTTTGGGTAAAGAGAAGTGAGGCCGACACGAACCTCTTCCCAACCTGTGGAACAGATATCATAACCATTACAACAGTGGTTATTGATTCGAGGCGTTTCGTTTCGCCACCAGCACGTACTGACCTACGCCATCGCTTCTGCAGGTCTGAATCTGGCCGAGTGACAGCACAGCGCAATGCTCGCGAGCCGCGGCCCCGCTGCCAGTGGCGGATCGTAATTTTAAAGGAAGCCGACACCTATCACAGTGAGCGGTCGACCGCTCGACGAACGACAGCCAATTTCAGAAAACAACATATTTTTCCAAGGGCGCATTCTTTTCTACATTGCCCTCCACAGCCGTTCAATTTCTTCTCAAATTCATCCTACGTCGTTCACTCAACCTAAAAATTCAATAAGACCAGCCAACTGTGTAGCCCCCTGCTATGTAATTTTACTTAATGTCTTTGTCGGTCCAAAAAATCTTCCCATCTTTTCGTTTTCATACGCCATCCACCACCCCACCACATAAACCGCGTGAGACACTAAATTTCACGTCCACACAAGGCAGCCGATAAACTCACAAAGGAAATTAATTTTCAGTTTGTGACAGGGAAACGAGAGTTTATAGCAACCAATCAAATTTCATCATCACCAGTTAGCGAAAATGCAATCTGTAACTGATTCTTCGTATATAAACACGCCTAAAGCCAGGCGAACAAGGCGATTAACTGCCAAACTGTAAGTGTTATGATCTGCTATCAGTTTCGACCTGTTTAGGGAAGCCGACATAACACTACTCCCCGGCTCTCCCACCGCCAAGTAATGCTCCACCTTGCTGCTCATAAAGTTTGTATTCGCTTGTCTTCGCCCTGTTGCATATATTCGGTAGCGCCGTTATTGATCCATCATATTAACAGCACAACGAAACATTTCTTCAAATAATATGAATACCCCCTCCAACAGTCCGTCACTGACGAGCCAAAACGAAGGTGAAAAGTTCTGCAGTAATTTATAAAATCCACACGACCAAGATAACAATGGCGCTCAGCTGGAAAACCAAACAGGATGACGAGTATTACGAACGGTCCCTGTCGTCAACACTGGGAAGTGTAATTGCTGCTATCTGCTAGGATGAAAACGGAAAATTCAACAATAACAAAATACACTCTACCTGGAATCACCCACAATGATTCCTCACTTTTGTAAGGAACGGTTGCAAAAAGAACTACAGATAAACACATCAACACAGTGCTAAGATAATTTATAACTTATCTTGGCGTCAGTTTAATTTATTCTTGGTTTATTTAAGGACGCTTTCAACAGTTCAGAACTCGAGCATCAAATGCTAGGATGAGTAATAAATAATGAATTCGAAAGGGTGCGGCAGATGCCTAATTCAAGGTAATATTTGGCTGTAGGGACTGAGAAAACCAGAAATACCTCAGTCAAGGCATCCGGTCTCCGGGCCAAGAGATTCGACTCACACACCTTTGAAATACTAAGGATTGCGAACCACTCGACCACAATGTTCGTGTAAACGAAGTCTGGAGGAAGAAAAAACTCCTGTTGTTTCGTTTCCCGCAAAGAGCATGGGTTTCTACATGCCCCCAGGCTTCGTCGCTTGCCTTTCTCCGGGAGAAATGGCAATAACGCTGTGCACTCCTGTCATGTCGTGGAACCTGTCTCAAAATAGCAGGCCTGTCGGTAATTGTAGATTTGGCTTGACTGCAGAATAATACGTATGAACATGCAACCACAACCCAGCGCTTATTTTGTAGAACAAAATTATCCTGCCATCTTCTGGATGGTACTGCTATTTCGTGTCCAAAGCGTGAAGGAAAATGGCATGCCCTGCCACCTATTGCATGAAGCAGAAACCAATAATTGTTTCCAGCCTGTACCGGCGTTAGAAATCGCTCTGATCTTAAATTTTACGTTTCTAATGTCGGTAATAAGATGTACTGACGTAAGAAACAATTTGTTCATAGAAGACGCTTAAACTTATTAAGACTATGTAAATTCCATTCAGTGCACATCTCTTTCTTTTATATAATGTTAAAATTGTTGTAGTATATGAATACACTCATTACATTTTCGACATTTTCACAGGATTGGCGATTCCCATCATGATTTCTTCAGCTTTCCAGTTGCGAGATGCATATTTCTGGTTACCACAAATCTGCCAACATGTCTCACATATACAATTTTCTTAAACATTTGTCTTTTTTTGGGAGACTGAAGCACAAACTGTATGATCTTAGTATGGTCAGTTTCTCACCACTAGTGTTAACAGTGATACCAACGTCAAAATAATAGGAATAAACAAATGGCGCTGGCTAAAAAGCTATTGGAAGTCAAGAGAAGAATAATATCTAATTATGGAATAGGTTTTCACACAGTTTCAAAAAGGCTTTATGAAATGAAACACGAAGGAAATGCATCAAAAGAAACTCACTTTGGATTTGAAACAGTAAAAGAAACTGAGAAAGCGGAGAAGGGTATGATTTCGATTTTTCTTTGTAACAGCAATAGAATTTACCGTGCATTAGCTGTTAATCTATGCTGTAATATTGGGTGGGGTATTCTTTATGCCATGCTAGTTTAAGGAAATTGCAAATTATTAAAGTATCAAACAAGGTCAAATCCTTCTCCTGAGTTCATTACTAGGCCAAAACCCACGTGAACTCCAATTAATTTTAAAGTATCATAGAGGAATGCTTTAGCCCAGGAAGTAACATCTCATCATCTCAAGCAAATCATGAATACTCTTTATTGCTGGAAAGCTGATAAACAGAGGTTCGATTGCATCCCTTGTTTAATCTTCCCTTTGATGAGTAAAGCAACACAAACATAACCTAAGTTGCTTGGTAATGAAGATAGGCCCTTTTTAGTATCAATTTTTTACAGCAGTGGTTATTATAACTTTTATTTATTGGATTAGGCCGAACTGCACTATTCTTTAAAGACAGTCTGTTTCACGTGTTTCAGTTCATTCTGTTTTTGAGACAGTGGCCAGCAAGTATGATCTTATGAATGATGCAATGAGTTTTGGTGTTCATCGCGTTTGGAAAGACATCTTCATTCAGAGACTGGGTCCTACGGCAGATACACTTTTGTTAGATGTTGCAGGAGGCACAGGTAACTTTAGAGGGTCATAAAATTCATATTTAGTTGTGTGCGGTTGCACCGTGGATAGAAATTTATCTAGATAACTTAAGAAAACTGCAGAAAATAAGTTTCAGGAAGAAAATGTCATCTTCTCTTAATTTATTCCATCTTTCAGGAAAAATTTGCAAATAACACAAATTAATAACTATGAAAGTTGATAACCTATCTTAACATTCTGCCATATATATAGTAGTACTGACTTCTAATACTTGAGATTTGACAGACAAAACCTCAGAAGTTTGCACATTAATCGTACTTGTAGTTATTTTACAAGATATCATCACATCTGACCTTCATTTAAACAACTCTGAATTGTGATGTTCCTCAAATTTAAATGTACTCAAACTTTAACTGTGATATGGAGTGAGGATATTTGGAAGCTCAGATGGTGGTTCTCCTAATGCTGATTGGTTGACTGTGAGAATTATGGCTGGCAGAGGGTGCTCAGCAGGAGCCTGGCATTATTCATATATGCAGAATGCAAGCTTCATCAAAGGTGGATAGATGCAACCCTGGATGCTCTGAAGGAGATGACACCTAACACCAGGACCACTAAATTGTCAATAGCAAGGTGTGAGGTGCTACATCTGCTCATTATTCTGAATTCAGGCCCTTTGATTGCAGGTGACATTGCATTCAGGTTCCTGAAATATATGCACATAGCAGGAAAGATGAGTGGCAGAGTTACAGTGTGCGACATAAATGAAGCCATGCTCGATGTGGGCCAATCACGGGCTGAGAAGTTGGGCTTTAGTAGTAAACAAATTGATTGGCTTCAAGCTGATGCAGAAAAGCTTCCAATAGATGATGCTTCGTTCACTGCATATACAATAGCCTTTGGCATCAGAAATGTGACACACATAGACAGAGTATTGGAGGAGGCATACAGAGTGCTGAAACCAGGAGGGCGTTTCATGTGCCTTGAGTTCAGCCAACTGAACAACGAGATGCTACAGTGGTGAGAATACTTCCTAATGTGGGGGGAAAATGGCATTTTTGTATCCAAATGGGATAATATTGCCACATTCAGAAACTATGATGAAATGAGAATAATGGCTATATTGAGTAAAAGGAGGAGTGTAAATTATAAATTATATAAACACATATGCCTTGCGAAGACATTATTTTCTGTCATAATCAGTGCAAATGTCCCGCGCCGTAGCCGCGCAGTCTGAGGCATCATGCTTCGGACCGGCGATACGGAATGCGCGCTGGTTCGGGTCTCGGGGGAGAAGAAATTTTCTCATGAGATTTTGACCAGTGTATGGGACTGGTGCCAACCCAGCATCGTGAGGAAATTGGGGAGCTACAATGAGTAGCGTAATCCAGTCGGGAAAGCTAGCAATGGCTAGGGGTTCGTTGTGCTGACCACACGTCACCCTATATCTGGTTGGATGATCGTTCACCTCTGCTTAGGCATGTGAACGTGAGGCCAGCAGTCAAACTAGTCGGCTTTGGCTCTCTGGAGCTGTTATGCCACGGATTTAATTTAATCAGTGCAAATATCTTGTTTTCATTATAGAAATGTATACTAAATTTTTGAAGATTTGAGGAGGCAAAGTTAAACATCCAAGGCCATTATCAGCTACACAAACAATGTCCTCATGCCACTGAACTATCGTTAGTATAAGACTTCATGGATACATGCACTAACTGTTGCAGGAGAAAAGTATGTGGCATTATTGTAGTCGATTCAGTTCTTTTCTGAACTTCCTCAGTGACGGACTAACAAGACTGATATCTCATTCTCTTTGCTCAGGTAATATTCTTTTCTCAGATTTACCTTCCGGAATTTTCTGAATTCCGTCCACACTGACAGGCACACAGTATATGATGTTTCGTGAAGTTTTTGCAGTACAACATACTAATATGCCACTTTTAGTCTAGTCAAGATGCTAAACACTTTCTAGACACTGCCAAGAAGTAAGAATTATGTATCTGAAATAAATCCTTTTAACATGGATGTCAGTTTGTGCCAGATATAAACACTAATCATGATGCAAAACAGTGAGACATGCAACTAGACTGGACTAAGAGGAATATGCACTATCAAGACATACCAATAGCACATGAACACAGAATTTCAGTTATTATACATTTTATTTACTTAACAACACTGTCCACAGCTCAGACTGTGCAGTGCCACATGGTAGAATAGCATTGTGTGTTGTCTGAGGTGTATTTGATATGTATGATGCTTCAGCAGTTGGCTCTTCAGCCGATTTTTGGCACTGTACTGGCATTTTCTTATCCTATTACTTACATTATTGCTGACAGAAGTCAGGATTCACCCAGGTCTTTTGAATACTAGGCTAGAATACTAACTACCAGGCTATTTGTTCCCATGCTGTCTACTTTCCTCATATTTTAATTTCATTCTATTATAAGGTGTGTATCGTTTTAAGATTGGCCACGGCAAGATAATACATAATAGTGATTGCTAAGCAGCCGTAACAAACAAATCGGAAGAATGTGAGCAACATAACCTATTCTGATCATTTATAGTTTTCTAACCACAACTTTAACCATAATGCATAAACTCTTAAGGGACAAAATGGCCTGCAGCACGAGATAAGTAATATGAGCGACTTTATCCATTTCTTGATTTGGATTTTATCCCGCCCCAACACAAAACACCTTCCAAAATTTGAGGTTTATTTGCGGTTACAAACGAATCGTACTTGGCGTAGGCCATCATTTAATGAAGTTAACCGTTACAATACTGACTTATAAGCGCTACAAATTCATGTCGCACTTCGGTTATGTACAGACTATGAGTGAAATTATTCCGATTAGGCAAACATCGAATTCTGATCCGGCATATAAGCTAACTTGTAACGATAAGCACACTGCAGTCATGCCAACGAACGTGAATGAAAAGTATTCGCAAAATAAAGAACACTGTACAGAAACCACATAAACGATCGTATGCAAAACAGTTCGCGTAATACTGAATTACGAATACAGTTACCATATACGTCAAAGGCTTACATTCCTATTTCATTGGTGTAAATAAATTTGTACACGCCCTAGGCATCAAGTTATGCCGCGGTCCTTGTCAGGTTTCAGGGTTTGATTATGTATGTTATTTGATACAAATTGGATCTTAGATTGGTACCGAGTGGTACCATATCGCTCTGTCTTTTATATTAAGAATTCCCCACCCACTGTTTTTTTCGTTTCCAAAGAATGTGACTGCCTCTAATATTGATTTGTCCTTGCCAGGTTGCCACAACCCTGGCTCATGTTATTGATTAATGATGTGGAGGCAAGTTGAGAATCTCCTTCCATAAGCTGATGCTCACATTATTTAACACCTTTGTAGGCATCTTGAGCCTCACATCATCCTTTACATACAAATAACATTGGTTTGGTTGCTGTGGAAACCAGACTTCAATACAGCCATCCTGATACCTTCCCTATATTGAACCCACACAGGAAGATATCCTCCTTACCACCTTCCTACTCATGCCTCAAAATGTATCAGTGCATTCAATGAAAGAACTGACAACAGAACAAAAGATTCTGAGCAATATAAAAAAATTGTTTTATTTGTGGCTCATTTAATTAAACTTGGTAGCTCAAAATATATTGCATCAGATGATAGTAAATTGGAAAGGAGGCTGTCATGGTCTGATTAAGGTACTATCCCAACATTTGCCTGGAGGAACTAGTAAGGTCACACAAAGCCTGTCAGAATGTCTGGTCTCTCAGTCCATATTCAATCTGAGACAACCTGAATAAGGTCAATGACCATACTTTCTTGTTGTAGGATGTATGATCAGTACTCATTCCAAGTGATTCCAGTCATGGGACAGATCATTGCTGGACAATGGAAGCCGTATCAGTACCTGGTCGAGAGCATACGCCGGTTTCCCAATCAGGTGAGAGGACATTACATTGTCACTTGTATGAAAGTAACTGTCTGCTTCTAACCTTTTCTTTTCTTTTCTTTTCAGGAAGATTTCAAAGCCATGATAGAGGATGCAGGATTTTGTCAGGTCAACTATGAGAATATTTCATTTGGTATTGTGGCTATACACTCAGGATTCAAGCTTTGTTCATAGTACCTGATCTCATACTTGAACTATTATGTAGACAATAATTACGGAAATACATAATTTAAGTGGAACACAAAGATCACCAGTCATGTGTGAATGTGAGTAGCCTCATCATCAGTCACTGTGATGCTCCAATAAAATGTTTGTACCTAACAATCTGTGCATTTTTTAACACCTACAATCTCACGTACAAGAGAAAACATTTGTATATTATCATCTGCTAAAGGGAGGTGAGCTACTTCAATGTTGTAACCTTCTAGCAGAACTTGAAAATATGTCTCAGAAATATATTTTGAACAAGGTGTTGGTAAGATGGCCACCAAATCTGGGAAGGAAAAAAACAGTATGTTGGCTAATTTCTGGGAGGTTGCCTATTAAGATTCCTATTTTGAATTCAGCTTACAAAATTCTCATGTGCGAAGCATATCACTTACCACACATATCTGTGCCACGTTCACAAAATTCAGTTGTAGGGCAGTTTTAAATATTCCAACATTAATTATGTACTGGGGGCGCTTTTGATAGTCCCATCAACTGTTAAGGAAAAGTTCAACAGAGTAGCTTTGTGTGTTGCTGTTCACTAAATTTTAAAATTCCCTGAACATGTTAGTGGGATACAAAACTTTTAAATGGAGAAATAAGTCACCATTTTCTTCTGTTACACAAAACCAAAGAGACCGACTATGGCGGCAAAATTTCAGACACTTGTCACATGCCCACAACTTCTGAGCTTGGTCATACAAAGTGACGTTATTTCTGATTAAAGCATTTGTGTCAATCACTTATTATGCATTCACATGTACCACTACAGCACTGGATTCAAGCTATGTGCATTTTCTTTGTCTGAAGCACTAAAAACTAAATGACCATGCATCCAGTACACCTCTATAACAGTTGTACAGATGAAACCTGTTGGACCACTACAAAAACTTACCAAAGGATACGTAATCCCCATACCGTGCATTCTTTCTGCTGCCAGTTGGATGTTTTCCAACACGTCATTACATTAACAGGAATTTAATGCATTGAACCTAAGATGTGAATATCCATAATTCCACAAGCAGAAAATTCACAAACAAATTAATTCTATTTACATAAAATTAATATTTCATATATGCAGTCATATAACCCAAGGAATTTGGCGCAGACATGGGAACACATCAAAACAACAGACATTTAGAGGTTGCAGAAGAAAGTCCCATGAGCAATAGAGATGATGGCACATGAGGATCCCCCCCCGCCTGAAGCACATTGGTACTAAATATTGTGAGCAGAATGGCTAGACTGGGCTGGAGGGAAATGTAGGGGGAACATAACAGCTTCAGGGCGGTATGAAGGGGGCCAGTCAATGGGACTTCTTCCAGCAGTCTTGAGTAGTAACATGTTTCTTAATATGATTACCTTACAAGGCAAAATTGACCCTTGTACCATCAAGTTTAGCATTAAATGTCTCACTTCACATCAGAACCGTTCTACCCACATCTCCAATGGAAGAGATGTTCAGAGTTCCAGATCTGTGCACTAAAAAGAGCAATTTTGGTATAGCAGTGTTCTATACAAACAATGGAAGTGAGCACCTCAGCTACAAGCCGCGTGATCAGCGAAGCTTGTCAAATGAGATGTCTCATCCTTATGATTACTAGGAGTGAGGATGAGGAGGGGCAGGGAAACCGTCAAAAGATCAGACGTCCTTTCAAACTTGTGATATATCAGTTTAATGCCTGTCGTCTCTATGTTAATATAATAATTATAATACACATTACAGAAGAAGTTTCTTTACATCTGAGCAAGACTGAATAAACGCCTCTGAAACGAGTAAATAATTTCTCTACACAGCACCAAATCAATGACAAAATAGCAACCAGGAAAACATTGTTATACAACATTACGTTTAGAAAAGTGATACTGGGCGCACAACTTGTGATATCAAATGTCTAGTCAGGTGTTGTGCAAATAAAATTTTTATTTCCTTTTTCTCTCTTTAAATATACTTTTTGCACGGGGCCCCATTTTGGCAAGCATTAAGTTTTAATTTGAGACAACCACCATCTCATGGTGAAACAGAATCTGCTAAGCAAATGCTGAAGCCTCGTCACTCAAAACCTCAACCGTCTCCCGCTCCACAGCATTTCATATTTTTCACCAACAATTAATACTTCATCAAAGAGACAAGACTCAGCATTGTCTACAGAACTTTCCAGAAGCAGAATTCACATGAAATGTAACAGCAATTTATTTGACACAAGAACGGACATAAAACACATAAAATAAGTTGCGGTTGTGTAAGTTACAGAAAACAAAATAATACTTACATTGGGCCTTTTCAGAATTTTACACTCACACATACACACACACAGACACGCGCGCACACACACAAATATATGCACACATGAACAATTTTACATTTATCACTGTACTAGGGCAATGAAAACAGAACAGAAGTGACTTTTTTTGACATAATGATAAATTAAATGGCTGCTTAAATTTACAGCCTACAGCATCCCTAATGAACACAATATCGGAACAAAGCTGCACAAATCGTTTAAACAGCAATGATGAGTAGATTCCTCAAGTACACTGTCCAGAGCATTCATTCATTCATTCCCCTAACTAACAAAATCTCAAAGTAGATATAACCTTTTACAACTGAAGAATACCAAAACAATATCAATACTGTAACATTCCCCAAAGGTAAGAGTCCTTCCCTTGCGCCAGAGCAAATAAGTTTAACATAATTTAGTCCAAATCAAATTAGGGCAACAAAATCAAACATTATGCCTTTTCCTCTTCTGGAAATTGGTTTGGCTTCTTAAAAATTGTGATTTTTCAAGACATTAACTACATGTGGGCAGCAAAGTCAGATTAGAGTGATCAAATTTGAATAGTATGATTGCTCTTCTCCCCCCTCCCAACCCCCACCCCCCTCGCATGGCAATGAGATTTGTGTATTTGGGACGGACAGCACGCCATCTAGCCGCTCTTGAAGAGGAGGATAGCCACCTGACCCAGGTAGAAGTAGATAAAGTGCCTGGTCTCATGGGTAACGTAGCTCCCAAAATTACGTCCCACAATGCAATGCCATGTTGGATTGTACTTCTTGTCAAATTCCTTTTTTATATATGCTGCAATGTCCTGAAAAAATTGTAATCATAAATGGGCAGTCCAGTACAAACCCACTACACCACTTCAATGTACTGCCTGACATACCTTCTCTATGTTGTATTTCTCCAGGGCCTGTGTTGCACAATCCACAGCATCCTGCTGCATATCCTCGGACATGTCAGCATTTTTAATTACGGCTTTGCGTTCTGACATCTTATTTGACCTGCAACAATACGAAGTGCTAGCACAAAAAAAACGTGAAATTTATCAACGGAAAATCCTTTGATTCATGCAACGTAACAAACAGCACCTAAATCATGCTATTACAGTCTGAAATTCATCACAGCTAATAAAAAAAACTGCAAACCTGACGAGGTTACCTCTCCCAACCCGAACTGTAGCTGTCACATCCACTTCCATCTGACGGCTGTGTGCGCCGAATTGCCAAGCACATTATACAGAAATTGAAAAACATGGGAAAATCCACCCAGTCCCATACGTGAGCCACAGATGGCAGTGAAATAATAAATAAGACAGCAGCCAACCACGATTTACAAACTGGGGTAAGAGGGAAATGTAAAGGTTGATAATTTGTATTAAATAAACGGAAAAAAGGTATTCCTTACCTTAGACTATAAAATACTTCTCAAGCTTAGCGAATTAAATCGTTGTAGCACTTGCAAAATGCCTTTAACGAACTACGCCGGTTCTACCTATGAAACACTATTTTTCCACAACCATTAACTCTTTGCGGGCAAATCCTCTTCATTGAAACCAATCTCCAGCGATCTTATTGGCTAGTGCCCAGAGTCTTCTACCAGAGTCTTCTATCAACCCATCATGCAATGTACTGCAGCTTCACTTCTTCTTATTCTTTTCCATGCGCAGTGGCCTTCTTTACCACAGTGGTAGGCCTAATAGCATGCAAGTCAATGACATAACTTTGGAAAACTAAAATGTATTTAAGTTGCAAACCAAAACAAATAAATATTTAGCGCAAAGCAAGCGACGGGTGATACAATGTTAAAACTATAGTCTGAAACACACTGCAGCACCTTGAAACACCAGGCATTCTGAAGAATCCAATCCATGCACTACGTGGTTATGAATTAGAATTCTGAATTACTGTACCAATTTATGTTCAATTTAATGGAGTCAGAAAATGTAGCTTTTATGGTACTGCTCATGGGATGTTAGTCTAGAAGCACAGAAAAGAGACATAAAGCTGTCAAAATGAGCTCATTTTGTGGCTACATTTTGAAAGGAGAAAGCCCAGTGATATTTTGACGTTAGCGTCAAGTATTACAGGAATACAATTACCATTACGGAATCATACTATACTCCCAAGTTTTTCGTGGTGTCTTGCAATCAAAGTATCCAATTTGATGTTTCATTATTGAGTGCACGAAGCTATAAAAGATATACATCTGTAACTTGATTTACCTTAAAATTGGAGTTATAGATTTCTCTTCCGCTAACCTTTCGATTTCCGGTTATGTTAAACACTACACTACAATATCAAAATACCGAAGATGTTAATTGTATATTTAATTTTCTGAACCAGTTATTACTCATAAAACATTAAATAAAAGCGGTTATATCTTTACTTTATATATTCCAAAAATCGTGGTTCTTCGTACTGTGTTCGGTAACAATCGGTTCGATCGATGGCTCAACACCATAGCTATTAGAAAAGGTACATAACGTAACTGCTACAAAAGTACTTTCTTAATATACGAAGGTTAAAATCACGGTTACTATATAAGGCATACTATAAATCTATGAATTTCCTTCTAGAATGGAATTGGTATTATGTCTGAATAGTTCCAATGGACAGGAGCTGACAGAAAATTCAAGCACATGACTTGAAACTTGGCAGAAACATATAAATATCTCACCAAACTCAGTTTCGAGCATGAAGTACGCAAATGGCTACCTTCGTGGTTGTTGTGCCATGTGGTCTGGTATCCATTCGATCAGACTACATGGCACAAACCACAGAATAGCCATTTTCATCCTCACTAGATGTTTGTGTGTGAAAAGCTATAATAAAAGATATGCAAGAGCAAGAACTACATGCCTTTTTAAATGAAGGAATTCAGTACACCAAAATGTTCTTTTACAACTTTGAGCATGTTCGTCCTGTTCAGCTTCAACGTCGCCACATGCTCTCATGAGCTTCACAAAATTCGAGGCTAAAACTGTTTATACACAAAATGTACTTTTTATAGTAGTACTACTGCAGTCATCTTGACTTGTGTATCTGTATGTACAGTTCTCAGACTATTACACAGCAATAAAGTATGAAGCAATACTCCGCTATGGAAGATTACAAAAATTATTGCCTTGTATGTAGTGCCTCAGAAAGAAAACTTGAGGTGTTTCATCTCCTAATTTAACCATGAACAAACATCCAATTATAGTTTAAACAAATGCCCAAATGCTTGTTTTATCTTTACACTGCTGTATGTATGTTGTAATGCACTTCCAAACAAGTACAAGTGACTGATACAAGTGTAACAGATGAGAAAAACACAACTAAAACTGTGTGAAGCAAAGAAATGAACACGAAAAGAAGTTTTTCAAACTGCACTTTCACCAGCACTCATTCATCCAAGATACCAACATAGTATCAGAGAAAAATGTAATGCTGGAAAGAGGGAACATGCAACAACACTTCTTTTCAACGTAAGTCATGAGTTTATTCACTACAGTCTACAATGCATTACACAAAAACTCGGGGGAAAACAGCTTACATATGGCTGTTAAAAATGTGTATAAAATTATAGCACATTAACAAAGCTGCTCCACTGATATGATGCAATGTGTCATGTATTCATGTGAGCTGAACTGCACACATTGTCAGCTGAATGCTACTTGTATTTCACATAGGATAGACACAAAACTTAAAATTCTGGTAGAAGCACCAATGAATGTTCGTGCAAACTACAGGGGAGAAAATGACAAACAAGGAATTATGGATTAAAACTAGTTTCCATAGCAGATTACCACATTCTGGAAATTATTATTCTATAACAATGCAAATGGCCAGAAATGGTACTGAAATAGTGGACGAAATATGTAACACTATGTCCTCCTGGCTTTATCAACAGAAATGAGTTGACAGCTCAATGCAGACTCCAATCCCAAGTCACAGGAAATCAGTAACCTCTTAAACGTATTGTCATTTGCTTTAGCAAACATATTTATGCGTGTTCACAATACAAGTTGCAAAAATGCACTTACTAGCTTTGTGTCTGTATTAACACGAGAATGACTTGAGAGACTTTCATTAAATTTGACAATAATGGGCGCTTTATAAGACCTAACTACGCTTGTGTGTGGGGAACCTCCAGCTATGAAACTACCCATGTGAAGAATTTTCAGCCAGTCTTACCACCATGTGGCAGAATCCTTCATGTCATTATGTACCCCGATGGGCATCACACACTGTACCCACACACAGGCCACTGACACCAGAAAACTCTGATGACACTGGTACCGTTTTCAAAGGCCGACGGTCTCATCCTGGTCATCACACCATAATTGTTATGTTATGCATACCTTTCCTAACATATTAAGTGAACTGCCTTAGTTTATTTAATAATGCTTTCTCAACTGCCTCCTGGCCGTGAATGATGAATTGGAAAGGATGTGGAAGGAATTAGTCATGGCATAATTTAAGGCACTATACCAGCATTTTCTTACAGCACTCAGGAAAGTCATGAAAATTTCAGTCTGGATAAACTGCCTCAGGACTAAGAATTCAGTTTCAAGAGAATAAATAAGTAGAGGGGTATATAAAAAACTTTAGGTCCACATACCAAAAATGAGGTTTTGTCAGTTACAGATGCTTTCATATGTTAATAATGCAAATCTTCACAGAATAAGACACGTTCATACAGTAGAATAATAAACAGCAGTCTGTAAAGTGACAATGTAGTTTCACATAATAGTAATACAGTTTATGTAACCTGCTTTACACAATATTATGAAAGAAAATAAGACAATGTGCCTTGGATTAAAGCAGCATGTGTGTCCTCATTTGATTATAATTTAAACGTTCATACATAACAAAATGGTAACTACATACACTAAAGCTGAATGGCAGCATGTGATAATGGAAATATGCGTGATTTTAAGTCAGTTTCACCTAGTATCAGAAGCTGTCTGCAATATGAATGCATCTTCTGCTGTGCACATCACGTCATAACCCCAGAAGAGAGCTGACAGACAGCAGATCAACCACCCTATGACCCATTTACACAAATCAAAACATACTATCGGATGTATAAAATACATATATGTAGATACCTAATAAATACACAACTCCCTCTAATCCTAAGACTCCGGAACATATTTCGGCAACAAATGCATCATCAGAGATCTTTTATCTTGACAACGTATCAAGTTTTCCTAACTAAACCTACCGCAACAGACGATATAGACAATGCTAAAGAATGATCATTTACAAAACTGCCATTTCAATAATGGTGGCAGTGATATGAACTCCCATACAAATCTATCCTTTAACAAAAACTTCAATTCTACACCAGTCAACTTTCAAACAAAATGTATCTCTTCTTATTGATCAGACCAAAATGCAATAAAAATTCATAGAACTTTTCAATGTTCGTTGAGCACAAATTTAACCTTCAGTGATAGACCTCAGAACTTCCAAAAGTTACTATCAAATACCATTCAACTACATGAGACTGAACAATCATTCAACGTACGTCTGCGCTCAGTTGTTACTCAGCTACACGTCATATTACTTCAAATCCCTGCCAAGATGAAGCAAAATGACATACGTCAAGTTCAATACTGAAGGTACCATCATATACACATAGGCATTATGATGCAAGCCAGGGGTGGTAGCGTATGGACTCCTTGCTGCGATCCCCATAGTCATACATCACTTCTTCACCTGCGGGGATGTCGTCCTTCGCAATCAGCACCAGATGAGGTTGGTTCGCAATGGGCACTGTCTTGGTGATGAGGTTACCACTCCTACTGTGGTTCACCAACCGTCCCAGACGACCAGATTCTGCTGTAGCATCCACACTGAAACAAGACAAAGGCAAATGAAGAGATGCAGACAGGATCACAGCGGATGCGTAACCCAGGTCCAGCTTCAAAATGGTCTTACTGTAGCACAATAGATTTGATGACTACACACTGCAGTCAATATCACCTTTCTTAACTCTGATGAACATGTATGATTTTATTTCTTTTCCATATAATGTCCCATGCATGCTGCATAGCCTACCTACCTAATCCTCCTGGATCAGAACACATCACTAATAAATGTCAAAAGCACAAGTTTGGGGAGCTTCAGTACTGTAAACTGCAGGAGGGGCAAATCAAATATACTTTTACTATTCCAAATATCCTGATGAATCTTAAGAGGATATTACACTAGTAAATAATAGTAAAACATGCACATTTAAGCTTTAACTGTGTTCCTATAATCCAATATAATGTACTACTGTCAAATTATACAGTCTATATTTCTTATTTGTTTGAATTCATTACAAATCGGTCACAAATGCTTTTAAAAAAGTTGGTGAACAGCGAAACACCAGGTGATAACATCTAGAAAATTTCCAGTCATACTGAAACGTATTCACACCATTACATGATAATTCCATAACAGAAAAAAATAAATGCATGATCCAACAGTCCTATCGGATGAGAAATAAAATTTTTGAGAGCTGAACTTACCCAAAATTTTGCCTGCAAGGAACGCACATCGAACTCACCAGTATTGATTGTTCCGGTAGTTAAAATAGTACATATAGCAGCCCGTGTTCTGATCTTGGGCATATCTCTTCTCCCGCTCCTTTGCTTCGCATATGTCAATTAACTCTCCTGCATACTCCACCACAAACTCTCCTTTAGAGAAGAGTCTTGTTGTTACAATACCACGCCCCTTTCCCTCAAAGTTGTGGACCTGCAACAAATGGGTCTACTCCATTACCATCTGTTCTCAGTAAACACCTCCTGAGACATCCAACAGCTGCGTAAACAAACGCTACCACGCACTAGTCAGTAATGTTGCTATATACCTGGGAGGTCACACAAGGTTCAAATCTCAGTGTCAAGACTTGTCACCCTGATATTTTTTTCATGTATTTCCTTTGAACTTCAGGCATATGTTGAGGTAGTGCTTTAAAATAGACCACAACTGCTTTACTGTTCAGTGTTCCTAATTCAAAATTCATAATGATCAGTTCATTTGACCCTACATTCAATGCAGATGAAAAGTGTCACTAAATAATCTAATAAGCAAATAAAGGACAACTGCATTCCAAACTTTCCCCGCTTTACTGAAATGTTTTATCAAACACCACACAGCAAACATAGCTGAGAAAGTGTGAACAAACTGTGTACATACAACCTCAAGTCCATCCTCCCTCTGAGACAAGATTGCTTCCTCTAGATCACGCTGTTGCTCCTCTAGCACTGTCGTCTTTGTCTTGCGTACACTCCGCCGTACCGGGAAATACTCCGTCAATTTGTGGTTGCCAGACGCGACAGAAACACCATTGCAACAATTCAGCTTTGGGACAATCTTTGGTGCATACTGCTGGTTCAGCGTCTGGCTTGGGTTCAGCCTGCACATTGTAAGTGGCTGTTAAGAGATGCCGAATACCAGGCAGGCAACAGTTTCAAGTTTTCACGGCAAAATCAATAACCTATCTGATTATAATTTCATGTTCACGAAAGTTCTGAAGTTGTAGAATAATTAAGTCCATCACCTTGAGCAACCACAACATTCAGTTACACTGCTACCGAGTACATGTAAATGGTGAAATGCAGGCAAGCCACTAATGAACCTTGTTCCCTGACAATTATTCTGCAGTTTTTATCAAACTTTGATCGCAGGAGGCCTGCTTCTGTCTGCAATACATGGCACTTCCAAAGTGGACGTGTACTTACCTTCGCCGAGACTTTACTGCCCGCTTTGGAGACAGAGAGATACACAGCTGTGAGAGAGCACTTGAAGGAGAGAGAGACGTGATGTCTTTACACAACTGTATCTTGTGAGGGCTGCAGCCAACTGGCTGCGGTACAAATTTCTCTTCACCATCTGCACAGAGAAAACAGTATAAAGATGGCAGGCAATCCACAGAACAGCCTGTGATAAATAAGGAATTCAAACACATGCTTAAAAGAAAATACAGATTCAAGACCTGCAATCACACAAAACTGAAGCTTCTAACACTAAACTCATTGGTTCATTTCATGCTCAAAAATCATTCACCACCCTGCAACCCTGCTGCTACCACAAACTTCCCTCATGCAAATTTCTTTATCAACTGAATAATTTCTTTTGATGGTAACATACAATGTTTACCTGAATGTTATACACAATATCCCCTGGTAAAAATAATTTTAAGAAACAGTGCCAATGCCATCATCAAGAGTACCAACTTTCATCTCTAAATTTCACCTGCAGGACTACAACAGACAAAAAACCTGACTCACCATCAGCTCCGGCAGAGTCTGCAGGATCAGCACATGGCATTCTGGTCAGACTACCCACAGACGAGGCAGGCGTTTCTCTTGCAACATTCTCACCCAATTTTGTCTTGATTTTTTGCTTACGATCAGGATATCCTTGTGACGAGAAAAATTTTGTAATTGATGGAGTTCTGATTTGAGGACTTGCATGGGATAGTTTACCCTGAAATTCTTTTGAAAGTTTGGAGTCCTTCTTTTTAGGAACACCACTAGATGCATCTTCTAGAGCCTCAGTAATTGGTTTCATTCGACCTTTGTTATATTTTCTTCTGCCTGAAAGACACATTCAACATTTTACTAGATATCATAATCAGTGTTACTGATGAAATTAATTGGGCTAATTTAAAGTGTTTAAATAAAAGCTGTAATATATTCTGGATAAGTAAACTTTGTTTGAAGCATTTTCGATTTAGAATGGTCTGAAAAAAGGAGGTGCATTACCACCATTTCTTTCTAATGTTGCTCTACAATGTGCCATCAAGAATATAAAAAAAACTGAGAAACTGGAAATAAAAGGGACACATAGGCTTCAGTTCTTTGCTGACAATGTTAATTCACTGGGAGAGAATACAACTGCAATACAGAAAATCAAAACAGCTCTAGCAGACACTAGAAAGGCCAATGGTATAGAACAAAACAAAGAGAAATGTATATTTGTGGCCAAGTTCCTGTCACCATACAGGGTAGCTAACAAGTCCTTTGAAAATATTGCAAAGATCAATATTTGGAAATGACAGTAACAAACACATACTGCATCAATAACAACATTAACAGCAGATTTAATATGGGGGATGCTTCCTACCATTAAATTAAATTCATGTACTGCTTGTGATACCTCACTAAATGAAACACATAGAAGGAAGGTGTAACAGTTCATAAAAAAACAAGCAAATTTTTTCACAGTACAGCAACTTATGTGAACTTGGATGGCATGAGGAGAACAAGGATTGAAGGTGTTTGAAAACACAGTGCTGAACACATTTTTACTTAAACAACGAAAATATGAGGATGGAGAAAACAGCATAAGGATTTTCGTATTTTGTACTCTTCACCATATATTATTAAGATGATCAACTCAAGGATGAGATGAGCAGGCATGGAACACACATACAAGTGCTGTAAAATGCATACAAAATTGTAAAAAAACCCTGAAGGGAAGAGATTACTTGGAAGACCTAATGCTGAATGAGAAAATTAAAGTAGGTGTAAAGGATATAGTATGAAGTTGTGAACTGGATTAATCTGGCACAAGATAAGGATTAATGGCAGGCTCTTGTGAACACAGTAATGGACCTTTGAGTCACATATAAGGCAGCTATATTTTAAATTATACGAGCAAGTCAGCTACTCAACGACTTGGCGTCACTGAGTTCGTTAATGAATCTGAGAGTTTCCACACACAATCTTCGATAATTCTGAAAAGAGCGCACATCATTTGGAATTCAACATGTTCCAAATTTACACAACAATAACTTCATGAAATTTATGCGAGGATGAAAGAAAGTCATCCTCACCTCGAACCATGATCAAGGAATAAACTTCTGCGAGAACAAAGCAACAAAAGATAATTTATTGGCTCGCTAGCGTTGACAATCCATGATTCGAATGTTGATAACTGATAATTCCCAGCTGTGATAACCATTCAACTTGAAAATAAATATATTAATAATAATGATTAAACGGATACAATTCCATTACGCGATGCTCTATTTTTTAAACATTTCAAAATTATTATTAAATAAGACACGTTGTAACACACATCTTCACCCTATGCCGTAAATTGTTAGAATATGATTGGCCGCCTATAACCAGGAAAGCGGCCATTGATTCACTATATACATTTCGATGTCAAGCAGTATTACATGCCTTGGAGTTTGGTCCCGACATCTAGTTACAATGTTATAACTAATTAACATTTAATGGAATTTGAATCTGAAGTTACTTATTTTCATACATATTTATCAATAATTGTAGATTTAATTTTCGTAGGTGTATAGATGTTTCTTGAATAGTTCAATTTTGTACTCCAATAAAAATGTCCTCAGAGTTTACTTTGTACTTAATATTTCAAATCAATTGAATTCAATCGGAGCATCTACAAGCTGTCACATCTAGCGGCTGTGAATTCTGGGATGTAAATCAAGATGGCGGGAGCAAGCAGCAAATAAAAGAGGAAAAGAGTCCGCGCGGTCATAAAATGCCTCGTCCTAAAAGATCGGTACGTATTAATCGATTGTTTTAGTGCAGTATATCGTAATAGATGTTAATGAATCATTAGCAACTAATGAATCTGATATTGCATTTGAGTATTGTGGAGAAAATCATCATACATAAGATATGTAATTTTTATGATTGTGGGAAATGGAATGGAGGTATCCCACAGACACTGTTTGTCATGTTTTTACGATCATAGAACATTGGCTTGAACACTGAAAGTAATAAAATTTATGGTATACAATGGCAGCAGAAACCACGTAGTTATTTACACAGTTTTGTATTGATTAAGCATACTGCCTTTGTCTTGCACCAGAGAAACAAAAAGACAAAAAAAGAGTAATGTGTAGAGTAACTTGACAGGAGAAACATGTATATGCAAGGGCTCTTGTTTCTGCATATGAGGCAATGTTATTTTTTCGAAATGGTATACTTTTATATTTTAATTAAAATTTGAAGAATGGCAACCCTTCCAAAGGATGATTTCTTGGTAGTTTTGCTGTGGTTTGAGATTGAGAAGGTAATTTGTATTGTAGGTAACCAGAAAGGTGAACTACACTGATGTCAGTGACAAAGAAGAGAGTTCCCCAGAATCAGGGAGTGATTTTGATGATGATGAGGATCCTGATAAGATAGAAGTTCCAGGTGTGTAAACCTAGAGTTATTGTTTAAATTATGGATTCACCTTAGTTGATGGTTTTGAGTGAACTTTATGAATGATTCCAGGAGGTGGGAAGGACCTAGCAACTGCAGCATCCATCAGCACATTGAAAGAAGAACCAAAAGATGGAAAAGTGAAGATGGAAGACACAAGTGGTAACTAGTGTAGTTTATTGCTAAATTATAGGACATGGAGCAATGTACCATGGTCTGCTCTATTGATCATGTGATGAGAAAGGTGTCTTGGTGCATCTGTAAAGTGTATGAGAGGAACCTTGCTGAAGTGATAAAACAGTTTCTGCTGCACACACGTGCGACATGACATGTTCTTCTGTCTGCAGCATTGAAAGTGTTAAGTGTTTAATTTTGCGACATTCATCTATTTACATACTGTATTTCACTGAAATGTTATCAATAAGACTCTGCATAGTGCACTGATTGTGAATGTTCACATACCAGAAAAAGCAGAAACTTCAAGCCTTGTTGTGTGTTAAATTTTGTATTAGCTGTTGAAATAACATAGTGTGACATGTTGCTGTTGACATTGTTGAACTGTTTAATAACAATGTCAATAATAATACAACAATGCATGAATACAACAATGTCATTAAACAGTTCAACAATGCCAACCGCAACACGTCACACTACCCCCTCCTTAAAGCTGCTCGTCCCGAGCAGCACCCGAATACGGCGCCAATCGGTCCAGATGGACTACCATCATCCGGGCCCGGGTATGCCGCTGAATCCGATAAACCATGTTGTTGATTCTGGTCACTAGGGAAATTCTTTGAACACTGTTCTACATTTTGAACCTTGTGAACAGCAAACTGGAGACAAGATTAGAAAAGGAATATTATTAACAAGGTGCTTGAACATACTTTTGAGCATCTCATCAGTAAAATTTCTCTCAGACTTAAATGGTAGATCCTGTAAATGGAATATTGGGTATTTTGTGGCTTTTCTGCATCAGAAATGTCTCCATTTCTATCTTTGGTTATCTTTTTCTTGCCAGTATTTAAACAGGAAATTATTGGTCAATAAAGGTTTAGTTATTTTAAGCTTCAGAGACTGCCAACAATATTGCTGGAATTCTGGGTAATACCATCATGAGGAATTATAGGTAGATGCCAATATTTCACAGGAAAATACATCTCCATTGAAACAGTGTCCACCTACAAGTCCAAATGCACTACTACCTAGAAGACTGACATCAAAATCTTCACTGCTGTGGGAACCTCAGATCACATATAATGGCAATATTATTGTGACGTGTTGCGGTTGGCATTGTTGAACTGTTTAATAACAATGTCAATAATAATACAACAATGCATGAATACAACGTCATTAAACAGTTCAACAATGCCAACCGCAACACGTCACAATAATATTGCCATTATATGTGATCTGAGGTTCCCACAGCAGTGAAGATTTTGATGTCAGTCTTCTAGGTAGTAGTGCATTTGGACTTGTAGGTGGACACTGTTTCAATGGAGATGTATTTTCCTGTGAAATATTGGCATCTACCTATAATTCCTCATGATGGTATTACCCAGAATTCCAGCAATATTGTTGGCAGTCTCTGAAGCTTAAAATAACTAAACCTTTATTGACCAATAATTTCCTGTTTAAATACTGGCAAGAAAAAGATAACCAAAGATAGAAATGGAGACATTTCTGATGCAGAAAAGCCACAAAATACCCAATATTCCATTTACAGGATCTACCATTTAAGTCTGAGAGAAATTTTACTGATGAGATGCTCAAAAGTATGTTCAAGCACCTTGTTAATAATATTCCTTTTCTAATCTTGTCTCCAGTTTGCTGTTCACAAGGTTCAAAATGTAGAACAGTGTTCAAAGAATTTCCCTGGGATTAAAACCCATGACCTTTCACTGGTATTTTTTTATTTTTCATAACATGAAGTATATTTCACTTCAGCAGCCGGTACAAATGCAGCATCGAACCTTCCTAGCAAGATCCCAGGAGGCTTGGTCACCAAAGGCAACTCAACTCTTGGCTATGAGAAGGTCCGAGTCGGCGGATCTGGACAGACTCCATTTCCTTTCCCACCGCAGGGTATGTTCGGTGGAATGGGAGGACTGGGAGGTATGGGAGCGATGGGCTTCTTTCCCGGAATGGCAGGGATGCCACAGCACACCCTGAATCCTGCCCAGTTGTTCCAGCAGAGTGCGTGTAACCTCTTCCTGGTTCTATTTGAGCTTCATGACAAATCTGAGTTTCTTATCTGCAGAGAAGAAGTGACACACATTTTGGTTCTTTGGTGAATTCTGTGTCCTATTTGGCGAGCATTTCTGTAGTGTGTGTTTGAAAACATGGTTCATGGGTGAATATAGATATCTAATTATTAAAGAAACTTGCAGTTGTAAGATTAATGGGAGGTTTTATCAAAATTTTTCATTTAATTTCAGCACTGGACATGGGTGCCTTCAACCCCATGAATATGAACATGAATCTGGGTCACATGGCTGCCATGAACCCTTTTCTTCTGGGTCAGAATGGGGCATTACTCAACCACCTTCTTGGTCAATCTGGAATGAATGCAGCCATGCATCAGGGCTGGGCTGGTGGCCTCTCGGGAAAGACGGTGTCACAGTTGTGGATGAATGATGAAAGTAAGGTATGTCTCCTGCAGTTATACATGTGGGCTATGTGCTGGTCAACTTTGGGCCATGCCATTTTGGTATCAATCTCTCTGCTTGGCCATAGCTGTTGGTTGGAAAAGGTTCAGGAAATTGCCTGGTGTCCGCTAGTAACACAGTTTGTGTGAGAATTGTGTCACATATCTTAATATTGGTATTGTGTTTCCACAGCTTAACCCTTTATCTACTGTGCAGGAAGAGGAAGAAGTAGATGATGAAGACATGGGTGTGGCCGAGACGTACGCTGACTACATGCCGAGCAAATGTGAGTATTCTCTTCCTCCCGCTCTTTTGCCTCTTCATTCGCATCTTCTGTGCTTCCAATCAGATATTGAGACCTTTACACCTGTATCAGATCAGATCATCAGCTGTGGCATTTGTCACACACAGATGCAGGCGAATTGACGTGCTCCGTTTCACATAATCATTCTTGCATATCTCGGTGGCATTTCAGTATAGGTGTAACTTTACTGATCAGTGAACTGTCCTCTGCTTTTGAGTATCAGCTGATCTGTTGAACTGTTGGGCAGTGAAACTAGGTAAGAAGCACCCTGATCCAGTGGTGGAGACTGCATCGCTGTCAAGTGTCGCCCCCACGGACGTGTGGTACAAGATGTCGCTGCCTGAGGAAACGATGACAACGGGAGCATTGTCTGCCCTGCAGTTGGAGGCCATCACATATGCTTCTCAGCAGCATGAGCACTTCCTACCTGATGGGAGTCGTGCTGGCTTCCTCATTGGTGAGTAACTAGCCAGTGCGATTCAGTATGTTGCAGATAATTAAATAGCACGTGAGAGGTTTGATTCATTTTGTACCAGGGATTGTGAAATGTTGGAAGAAAAGCAGTGTATGGCCTTATGTTACAGATTTTAAGTTCAGTATTAAATATGAAATATGCCTGATTTATTATTTTCTGGTCGTAGTACTTTGAAAGTTAAAATACATTGCAGTCTCAAAAAATGAGAATGTGATAAATTTAGAAAACTGGGTGTAGATGGAAGAATGATATCGAAAAAGAATCAAAGAATAGGGTGTGATGATGTAGAAGAATGGATTGATCAGGCTCAGATAGGATCCACTAGTGGTTAACATGGTTATGAACCTTCAAGTTTCATGAAAGATGTGGAATTTCTTGACTATTTGAACAACTGGCAGCTTGTTGAGAATGACTCTGCTTTGTCGAGTTTAGTACTGTGTAAGATTTGAGATTTCCACAGCGGTGAGCATGAAGATTTCTGTCTTCTGGGTTGTTGCGCTGTGTAGTCTGGTCAATGTTTCAGAGGTCACACTGCCTCCGTCATCAGGGCGTTGAGTTTAGTACTAATGCACACTTCTCTGTGGTTAGAGGAAGTTGAAATTTGAGTTAGGATATGTTTGTTTGTGATCCTGTGGCTTGTTTGTTTGTTGGTGCCAGGTGACGGTGCTGGTGTCGGGAAGGGACGAACAATTGCTGGTGTGATATTTGAGAATTATCTGAAGGGGCGCAAGAGAGCAATCTGGGTATCCGTGTCCAATGACCTGAAGTACGACGCTGAGAGAGACCTACGTGACATTGGGGCCTCAAAGATAGAAGTTCACCCTCTCAACAAGGTAACACCCACATACAGTCATGGTCACCACACAGGCCAGTGCTTATGTTTATTATTGAATGCTGTTGTTTTGTGTTTGTTTGTTTGAGTCAGTGCAAATTACCAGCAGAGATATTCATTATTACAGTGGTGAACACCTTTCTTTGCCTTTATGTGTGTGTTAGAACAACTCATTATAGTGTCTAGACAGTGGGCTTGACGAATGGGCTTCGATTCCTGAAGGGCAGAGATTTTTCTTATGGCTGCCGGGTCTAGACTGGTTCTGGACCCGCTGCTATTGAATGGGTACAGAGGTTTATAATTTTTTTTACCTCTGTGTGAAATGGACTTGTACGATGTCCCTGTGAGTGCAGTCCCCGCTCGGATGCATGCAGTGCTCTACCTTTGATGTATTCTGAAGCACTGAGTGTAGTACTGCTTTCTCTTCAGGACTGAGTTACTATTCATCATAGTTACATGACATTGACACATTATGACATGTAATTTAATATCTCTGATCCACAGTTCAAGTATGCCAAAATTTCTTCAGCTGTCAATGGAAATGTGAAGAAAGGTGTGATTTTCTCAACTTACTCTGCGTTAATTGGAGAATCTACGCAGTCAGGTGGGAAGTACAAGACGCGGCTGAAGCAGCTACTGCAGTGGTGTGGGGAAGATTTCGATGGACCAGTTGTGTTTGACGAGTGTCACAGAGCCAAGAACCTGTGCCCTGTGGGCTCTTCAAAGCCCACGAAGACGGGTCTGACTGTGTTGGAGTTACAGAACAAGCTGCCGAAGTGTAGAGTAGTTTATGCATCTGCTACCGGTGCTTCAGAGCCTCGCAATATGGCTTACATGACGCGCCTGGGCATCTGGGGTGAAGGCACGCCTTTCTCCGAGTTTGCAGATTTCATCTCTGCTGTGGAAAAGAGGTTGGTTTTAACACCCTGTGCAGGGACATGACATGATACGTATTTTTAGGACTCTAGGGTGAACAGTAAGTAAATCAAGTTTCAGGTTATTTTTTGTGTTACTAAATAACAGGGATATACATTAATAGGTGTTGTGCATTAGTTTAAGCTTAAAAATTCACATGCATAAAAGGCTGTGCTCTGTAAACAAACATTTATGATTTATAATGTTCTTCTTGCACCAAGTTATGAGTCACAAGATGTGACTGTACAAGAGAAAATGCTTAGGAAGTAAAATCGATTAAAAGTTCAATGTTGTGTGAAGATTGTTCAAAAAGTGATAAGTCTATGTTAGTACTGTGTTATATTTAATGATCTAGCTTAGCCTGTTCCTTTTGAAAGGATCCACTTTGGAATTCAAAACACTTATGAATACTGTTACGTGACCCTGCATTGACCTGCCAGTTTGAACATTAGCAAAAATTACAAGCATCCATTTGCATTGCACCTGTGAGAGTATCAGGGCCATCATAGTTGGGAAGAAAATTATTGTTTCTTTGTTTATAACTTGTATGTGGCTCACCATGCAGTGCGGAGTGGCAAACAATGAAAAAATTTTCCTGCTTTAAATGGTGAATAAGATAGTGCGGGACACCCCTTTTGCTTCATGACAAATTCTTCATACACAACAAACAACACAGTCACTTTAGAGCATTTTGCTTTTGTTTCTAAGTGAAGGTTTCCCTTCGTATCATCGTTCTTAAGCCCCGAAGAACATGATCTCCCAGCAGTGCCATAAAGTAAGTGTTGAGTTCTGTTGCCTCCAGGGCTGGTTAAGATGGAGTACCTAGTTAGTGAAATGAGGAAAGATGCTACTGCTGGATTACTCATGCCTGAAACTTTTCCATTTATCTGCACTGATACACTGTTTCTGATGACAGGAACAATAAGTCATCAGAAAAAGACTGAAGTGTGGTGCCTGGAAGTGAAACGTGAATGTATGTTTTGCAGAGGTGTGGGTGCCATGGAGATCGTTGCTATGGACATGAAGCTTCGAGGGATGTACATTGCAAGGCAGTTGAGTTTTCATGGTGTTGCCTTTAAAATAGAAGAAGTGGGATTATCAAAAGAATTTGTTAAAGTGTACGATGAGTCAGTCAAGTTGGTAAGTCAATTTTTGAAACCGTGCATGTGATCTTCGTATGTGTTCGGACTAGTACAGACTAATAACTGGTTGATCAATGAGGCCAGATAATTTTTTGTTTAACAGTGTTTGCAAATGTCCATAACCATAAGACATCAATACCTTACTTTATTTCTGGAAGTATGTGGTTTATATTTTGAACTGAGTTTTTCATTATTTTCTTTACGAAAATGGCATCACTGAAATCAAGCATCTTACCTTCCATCATTTGACACTACGAAGGTCTTGACATGTGGCACATATTGTAATATAATCAGATAAAGATATAAGACAATGCTTGTTAGATTGTGCTGTTTTTAAGACAATTGCATCACCTTGAGCTTTGCAGACTTCGGTTCCATACTATCGTGAATATGTTTCTGCTGCCCACTGATTGACTTCTCTTTGTTCAGTGGGTTGAGGCCATGCAGAAGTTCCAGGAAGCTGCTGAACTGGTGGATGCAGAGAACCGCATGAAGAAGACAATGTGGGGGCAGTTCTGGTCCTCACATCAACGCTTCTTTAAGTACCTGTGTATTGCAGCAAAAGTGAACCACGCTGTTGTTACTGCAAGGTAAAATACTGTTCTGATACGACTCCATTACAAGGTGGAATTTTTTTAACCTGAAACTGGAAGTCCTGAACATTATATCTCCAATTATTAAATTTTGTATCAGTAACTTCTGAATTCATATGATACTTTCATGGTTTACTGGTAAATACAAGTCAGGCATCTTCAAGTTTTAGACTTACCTGTCTGTCACTGTATAGTTGATAAGTTGCTACCACATGGTGATGTTGGTTTAACATATTTATACCTATTACCTAGACTTGTCAGAACATTCAGCTGCAAAACTGTAAAAAACTGGCAAGAGTCTGTCACTTGCCATCTTTCTGCTAATGAATCGATGTGTTTACAGGGAGGCTGTGAAATGTGGAAAGTGCGTAGTGATCGGTTTGCAGTCAACAGGCGAGGCACGTACCCTGGAACAGCTAGAGCGAGATGATGGGGAGCTCTCTGACTTTGTGTCCACTGCAAAGTGAGTTATAAAGAAAACCCGTGCGGCATTTGCATGGGTACAGACCCGAAAGAAGAAATGTGATCACAGAAATGTTTTGTTGATATGTCGAATGTCCTTTGTAATAGGGTGACACATTTGATGACTGAGGATTTTTATATGTCATACGTAGATTGACATACTTAACAGTGGTTTCATTTTGAGATTCATTTCCTTACAGCAAGCTTATCATTCTTTGTTCAGTTCTATTAACATTTGTAAATAATATACAAGTAAGTTGATAACTTCTGTTATTAGTTTTGTGTTCTGGCATTCTGCTGGTTTTACAGTAAGGAAACTTTGGATTATGCTCTGTAGGAATGATCTTAATTGAAAACAGTGAAATACATAAGTGTCTTTTGGTGTGGTTCGAAAGGGCAAGTACAGTATATCGTAATGATATTATTTGTTTTTATGTTGGCAGAGGTGTCCTGCAGGCACTAGTGGAAAAGCATTTCCCTGCTCCAGATCGCAACAGAATTCACCGGCTCCTTGGGTTGGATCCTCCTCGCAAGTCTGATTTAGGAAAAATCAGTAACAATGGTGATGCTGATGGGGAGGCGGGAGGTTCAAGTGGCAAACGGAAACCAGGTACAGCGAGTCTTCCATCAGACTTTATGAATATTTAATTTTGTATCATAGGTGAGTTTGAAGGAATGTATATTAATAAATTATAACTTAATATTAATTAATATTTTTTCCTTAAAACATATCTGTATAATGCATATACCATTGTACGGGTGAATACGTTTGGCTTAACAAGTATAAGAGTTTGAAAAATTTGCTATTTTCATGGTGGATAAGCGTACTTGAAAGGGAAATCTTGTAAACATGATACAATGTTAAAATGTCATAAGTTTACAAAGCTGTTTGGCGAAGCACCTTTCAAATGATAAGTAACAAAGGGAACATAAGATACATTCAAAAGGAACTGGAAATGGTTAACACACACTGGTAAGTGACAATTAAGATATAGATTCAAGAGAAAGAACATGTCACTGCTTTCTACTTGAACTGAGAACTGAACATTTCATTTCTAGACAATTCCTCAAAAAACTTTAATACAGCTGAAAGCAAATTTTACATCAAGGCCTGTTACTACAGATCATGCTTTGACAAGAGCGGCTGGTGGACAAAGGACTTTAACTGGAGAGAAAGTGAAGAGAGTGTTGCAATGTGAGACCTGTTCCAGCTGTGATGTCCTGTACTGTTAGAAATAAGTGCAGACAGGACCCATTACACTGGGAAGCAATGCAACCACACCACTATGCATTGTCTTTCTGCATGCCCCACAGAGAAGCTGGTAATAACTCGGGGAATAAAGAAGTGCCCCACATTATCTGGAAGTTGAAAGTTCATTGCCGTGACTGTTCTGAACGATGTAAATTCATTCCGCTATATTCTGAGCAGCAAAGCTTAGTGTATTACTGGTGATATATGCAGTTGTGTAATGGTACTTGTCACTGCTTTTCAGTTCGACAGGCAGCTCAGCGAGCATCGAAGAGGGTCAAGATGTCTTCTTCAGAAGAGTCGGACTCTGAGTCGGAAAAGGACGGCAGCAGTTCTGGGTCAGAATTCAAACTGTCTGGCTCTGATTCTGCAGAAAGCGACAGTCCTTCAGAAGACAGCAATGCTAGCTCCGATTTCAATCCTTTCTACTCGGACAGTGACTCAGATGCAGGTAGCGGAGCTGTTTTATTTTGGTGATGGAGTTAAGGTACCTCTGATTCCATGAACGTGATGTAAATTCTGTCATTATGCGGGAAATTTGGAAAATTGTAATGTAAATGCCTTAGAATATATTTTTTAAATTATGAGTTTTACAAAAACAGCTGTAGCAGTTAAGAAGTGTGTATTAGTAATGGCTCATCATATTTAGTTTGCATATATTTATTCTCATACATTGCCAGTGCATCTAAAGGTTAAAACTTGTAATTCTGAACTTTGTATTTGTCTTAAGCAGAACTTTTATGAGTACTGTGAGAGGAAGAAACAAACTGATATTTTGAAAACTGCATGTTAATATAATATTTGTTATGAAAATACAAGCGCATTGTTGAGGAAGGAAGGAGATTGCACATATACTCTGGGTGCATGTTGAAGATAAGGGCGATAAATTTTACATGAGCCATTTTCATCGTTCTCAGAACATTTTTACTAAGACGTGGGTGCTCTTACATTAGTACTTTGCTCATATATTTGTGTCTGCAGATCCATGGGACAGGCGCAAGAAAAAGGGAAAGAAGCACAAGTCATCAAAGAAGGGTCAGTCAACGCAGGATAAAATTAATTCCCTTCTGGCACGTAAAGCCTCTCGCAAAGGGAAGCGTAACGGTAATGGAAACAGTAGTGGTGGTGAGAGAGCGCCCCCGCCTCCTCCTCGTGATGCCATTGAGCGGGCGTGCAAGATGAAGGAGGAGCTCCTTCAGCACATAGAAGAACTTGGGGATAAACTGCCATCGAACACGCTTGATCAGCTCATTGATGAGCTTGGTGGACCTGAGAATGTGGCTGAGGTGCGTTTCTGTTCTGGTACGGAATTCAACAGAATTCAGAAGTCTGGAATGTAATGAGGATTTATTTTATGTGTAGTTTGATTAGTCCTCGTGTATTTGGTCAGTACAGTAGGAAGGAAAATGATGAGCACCGACGTCTAATGAAAGAAAGGACAGCGGCAGAGATTTGTCTCGTGGGAAATATTTATTGCTGGTTACCACAGGAATTATGAAGGCATCATGTAGGATTTTTTCTGTTATGCCGTGGGGAGAAATTTTCAACACATCACAGGTCACACAGCATTTATGATATTAAAATGGTTGTTTTGCTGATTGTATTTCTGAGATTTTAGGTTCTATTACAAGTGAAGTTATTAATTTTGGTCCGCTGGGTTGATTCTGCATGATATTCTAGGTGGTTGTCCTCATTCTGTAGGAATGTACTGCCTCCATATATTCTTCCAAAGTGTTGATAAACATGCCCAACAACCCAGATGACCTACATTGACATTCTTCATAATATTCAAATCATATATCTATATGGAGACTTATAACTTTTGTTTGGTTCCTTCTGGTTACAATGAAGGACAAAATAAAAAAAGTGTGATTACATTTATTTTAATTCTGGATCTTGATCTTGAGTTATATTTTTAAACCTCATTTGAAAACCTGAAGATGCTTGGTTAGTTATGAGCCAATAATATGGAACTTGAACCTTGGGTGAAATAATTACAGATCATAAAATTTAATTCCAAAATGTCATGGAATCCTTTCACAGTATTTTTACTTTTAATTTCAATTGGTAAATTTTCATATTGAACAGATGACTGGTAGAAAGGGCAGAGTGGTCCAGACTGAGGACGGCATCCAGTATGAATCCCGTTCGGAAGTCGACGTTCCTCTGGAGACGTTGAATTTAACAGGTAAGCCTTTATAGTAAAATGTGCATATGATATGTGAGGCTTATACTGTCATTTCTTTACATGAAAATCAAATTACTACTTATTTTACCATTGTATGTGCGTTACTCAGTGTTTGATTTGTTGACATTGTCAAGTCATTCATACCTGCCACCTGTTAATATTAATGTAGAATGTAGGTCAGTCATTTGTCCATAGAACATATCTCAGATCCTTCAAAGTCTGTTAGACACAAGTCATTGTGGACAGCAATAAGAAATAAACATTATATTCATTATTACTTTCAGAGCAGAATATGCCCTGGAAATTCATTCAGTCTTTGTGATCAAAGTATTGGGTTTTATCAAAATTAAAGAAACTTTAGATATATGTGCAGGGTCCGCAGTGGCCGCACTTGGAGGCATGGGTCTTGTACCGGTTGGTCGCTGGGACCGTGGGTTTGAATCCCACTCAATCTATGGATGCTTGTCCGTGTTTTTCTGTGTTGCACTGTCCTGTGTGCAGGTAGAGGCTTTGCGACGGACTGATCCCTCGTCCAAGGATCCTACCGAATGTCTATAGATCAAGCCAACGAAAAGTTGGGACCTGCAGTGCTCAGGCACTTGAAGAACAGTATCCAGTTAGATATATGTAATTCTGTCTTGTCATTGTTCTGCATAGTGCAGCGCTTAGTTTTTGAATCTGAACAATTGAATTTGAAACAAAGTGCTGAGGAGTGTGGACTAAAAAGGAGTTGGAGGAACCTATGTGATGAGGTCTTCATAATTGTAACTCTTCCTGTTCTGTAAGTAGGTAATTAAATTCAGCATACAGAGGATGTAAGGAAAACTCTGGCTTTGAAGTTCAGAAGTTGTGACATATAAGAAATTTCCTTTAAAGATGTGTTATGAGTCTGGTGTCTTTTATGACAGTGGAGATAAATCTTCGGCTTCTGTTTGACAGTGTGGGATTTCTTGATGTGTGTTGACCGATTATGGCAAGGAATTACGCTAATGAAATATTATCTGTGCAGAGAAACAGAGGTTTATGGATGGTGAGAAGGATGTGGCCATTATCTCCGAGGCTGCATCCAGTGGAATCTCTCTGCAGAGTGACCGACGTGCCCGCAACCAGAGACGTAGAGTGCACATCACACTAGAGTTGCCTTGGAGTGCTGATCGAGCAATCCAGCAGTTTGGTACATCACTTTCTTGCCACTTTTTAGTTCCTGCCTTAAACATTTCCCTGTCTTTTTGTGAATTTTGACAAATACAAGTTTTGAATGAGCACACTTTCTGATCACTGACTGTTGGTATTGCAGGGCGAACCCACCGAAGTAACCAGGTGAATGCCCCTGAGTACATCTTTCTGATCTCCGATCTCGCAGGCGAGCGGCGATTTGCATCCATTGTTGCTAAAAGGCTGGAGAGTTTGGTAAGTTGTGTAATGCATCAGAGTTTTTGCAGTCCTCACAACCCAATATGTCTTGAGAACCTTTATTTGTCCTCAAGTAATTTCTTGCTACTAGAGCAGAGCGCTCCTTTCGGAGCTCCTCGGGCGGGTTGGTCAAGTTTGTAAAACGCAACCAACCTTGTGTAAGAAACTAAACTAACCCCCCTTCTTTTTCAGCGTCTTGTTTTTTTTCGTTCCTCTGTTCTTAGGGAATAAGTTTTTCTACGTGTGTCGTTAATATGGTCTCGTCTATCATTGTAAGTATTCTTTCGCTCTTCTTTATTTCTTAAATAGGTCTGATGTAGTATTTTTTTTCTGATGTTTTAGGACAACTGTCAGAAAATTATCAATAATGCGATTCCACGTGCTTCTTCTGGAGCAGTGATAATGCGACTGGCTCGGTAGTGAAGCGTTATTTGTTTACTCGGCATTGTTGTGGAACACAACAATGCCGAGTTTGTTTATAGTTGACATTGTTGATGACGTAATTTATTGATGACAACGACTAATCACAAATTTTTATAAGGAGATATATATTTTTATAGCATTTATTTACATTTTTGGGGGGATTGTTTAAAAATTTATAAATTGCAGGAAAGAAGCTTAGTGTGTACCTTCAACTTACGTCTTTATTGAAATGCTCAGTTCATAATGGAGTTAAATCAGAAGGCAATGTATGAACATCTTAAGAATATATAATTCCCAGACACAAAAAATATACAATATCATGATGCAAGTTAAAATCAGTTTTACAGCATTATGAAAGTTTTGTACAGAATAAATAAATGGCAGTATTTTGCGTTGATTTGCATCTTTTCAATTATGACTTTTTCACTAAGGAAATACAAGTTCCATGGGGTCATCAAGGAAATGGTTTTTTGCCATTGTTCCTTATCAAACACTGTAATTCAAATAAAACAGCTAATTTGAAAGCAGTATTAAATGGTACTTGCAAGATGGTGACTGACTCATCAGAGTAGCCAACATTTGAAAAGAAAAGTTGGCTGGTCACAAAGAAATTATGTAAAATGTGGGAAATTCAGATGAAATGACATACTTTCTTTGGGGGAAAAGCCCATTGAAGGAAAATTAATGGGACTGAGAAAGTAATTAAAAAATGCAATAAACTGTACATTCCAGGAAAATAAATGTGAGGTTTTACTGTATTCTATTGATATCAACTAAAGCATTAATGAGGGTAGACCAGTATTGCGGAGATATTTGAATCTGTCCACAGGGGGCACTGACGCATGGAGACCGTCGAGCGACAGAGACGAGGGACTTATCAAGGTTTAACATTGATAACAAGTATGGAAGAGCTGCTCTTGAAGCCACAATGAAGACCATTATGGGCTATGAGGCCCCCCTTGTCCCACCACCACAGGATTATAAGGGTGACTTCTTCAAAGGTCAGTCAGTCATGGTTTAGAGTCTTCCATATCTTGAGTAGTCTTATCAGAAACAACACTTAAAAATTCAAAACACAACTTTGCCTCCACATGACTTGAGTTTTGACTTATGTTAGACAGGCACCTTATCATAGCATGTGATGTCAGGTTGCAGGTAAAGGAGAGGGTCTTCAGATATGGGGGATACCTGAAAGTGTATTCAGTAAGCAAGTATGAACAGCCTGCAGAGCCAGGTCCTCGACCAATGATAAAATAGCTTGAATTGAATGACAAGTTTTTCATATACCTACGACCGTTTCAGATGTAGCAGATGCGCTGGTTGGCGTGGGGCTGATATGTAACAGCGAGAACATGCCAGGTGTACTGATGCTGGACAAGGACTACAATAACATGAGCAAGTTCCTGAACAGGTGAGTCTGATGGGGAGTACAGCTGTCTGTCTGCTTGCCATGACACTGCATAGCCCGAGAGGATTTTATTTTACTGCATAATAATATTGAATTTTGTTGTCAGGATCCTGGGCATGCCAGTGGACCTGCAGAACAGGCTGTTCAAGTACTTCACTGACACGCTAAATGCCATCATCACACAGGCCAAGAAGTCTGGCCGTTTTGACATGGGCATCCTTGGTAAATAATAGTAGGCCATGAGCTGCATGTGGTAGTGATTACTGTTTTGTAAATTCACGTGCACAAGTTTTAAGGTATGCCAGAAGTATAATATAGTAACTTTTTACTCTGTGTGTTCGGCAGACTTGGGCACTGCAGGTGAGAATGTGAAGCGTGTGAAAATGTACACGTTCCTGAGGAAACATGCAACAGGTGTGGCTACCACAGAACTGCACATAGTTCATGTGGAGAGGGGAATGAGCTGGCAGGAAGCCATGGACCATTGGGGACAGTTGACAGGCTCAAGGGAGGGCTTCTACCTGTCTCACCAGGTGAGAGTAGGGGCTTGGTATAATACTATAACACTTAGATTGGTTCTCTGTGGTACTGTGTTTCAATCTGGAGCATGTTCTTTTAAAATAACTTGCTTTCACTCTGATGGCTCATGGCTGAAGCATTATGTTTGAAAAATCCTCTCAGGCTAACGCCTGTTTCAAATGGTTAAAACTCGCTGACATTTCAGGGACCATTTCTGCCCCCCAATATGTGTACCTACCCTGGGCCTATGTTCAGATCTGACCACGAGCCAGTAGGAGGCTGGAGGCTGGTTGGCGGTGTTATATGCATACTTTGCTTGGTCTTGTCCGAACACGGACCCAGGGCAGGTATAAATATGGGACGATTGGCTTTGACAGCCATATCAGATGCCCTGATGATGAAGACAGAGATGGTCCGTTTCCTGAAACGTCGGTGAGTTTTAGCCATTTGATATGGCTGATAGCCCAAGAGGATTTTATTAATTCAGTTTGCCATGAAAGTTTTTTGATCATACATTATTGTTTATAGTTGCATGTCCAACCAATTCTTTTTTCCCCCTTTGTCTGGAAAACCCCCATGGCTATCACAATCACCACCACCGCTACTACCATAATCATGATCTAGGTCTACTGATCTGTTCTGGCTCTGAAACAAACAGTTGATTAATCTAATTCTTCTCAAGTCTTATAAAACTCATATCCTTTGAGATGTCTAGCTTTATGTATTATAAGTTGGTTCCTTTTGCTGCTAGATCCGTAATGGAAAGCAGACTGCAATCCTCGCAGTGGCTGTCGAAAGTGCCAAGGGAAAGAAAGATGCAGAGAAGAATAAAAAGGACCAGTTCTACACCATCTACAGGCCCAACACAGGACTACAGGTAGTACATTAATGGCTATCCAATGTTAAGGTTTACTTTTAACATTCATGACAGGTGATTGTGTTTATTTTAATTTGCATTCTCATTGATAAGCTCACTGCCTTTAACCCTTACCAGGTAGAAGTATCTGTATGTTACAGTTGAGACAAGAAACATTAGGTGAGCTGGAGAAGAAATACAAGAAGGTATCGACTGATGAAGCGGAGTCGCATTGGACCCAACAGTACGATTCCTCTGTCACTACTTGTTCCCATGCTTACTGGTCAGTATACAATAAGAACTGCTGATATAGCGTTTAGTGTTCAGCTGTTCGGTTGCTGTTGGGGCTAAATAGAACCTGCTTGTTCACAGGCGCGGCAACTGTAAGAATGTTACGATGGGTATGGACTGTGAAGTAGGCCTGCGTCGGCGAACGTACAATGTGTTGGCAGGCTCAGTATTAAGTGTTTGGGCAAGAGTGGAGAATGTATTAGCGGCAAAGACAGGACACAACTCAAAAATGCAGGTGGTTCGTCTTCGTACTGGAGAAGGCGTGAAGATAGTTGGTAAGTACAGTAATTTGTAATTAAAAAAGTCACACCATGCACAACCCATTCAAAAGCAATTTTGTCCTGTACTCCTGTTGTTGACGTTTCCTGAGTGGCACATATTACACCATTGGTGATTCCTCTAAGGACTGCAGTAGAGGAATGTGTGCCAAATCCGTGACATAGTCCCAGAGATGACAGTTGAGGGGTGTCATGTCAAGTGAACGTGGAGGCAAGCCCATAGTTTCATCAGGGAAACTTCTCAAGAATGAATTACTGTTCTGTTCAAATGCACAAATATAATTTGTTAAGTCAGTATCATGTATACAATTTAGAAACATTGAGGGCACAAAAGACTTTTTGATCTGGTGCTCGAGGAGACTGTTCCGAGCGGTGTGTCTGTTTACTTTCCCACACAAATGAAATGCAGCTTCATGACTGGATCAAGGTGTCATCATCCTGTTCAACATTACAAGTTAACTTTATTTCCCAGGTCCTTGTTCTGTTTTATCTTAATCACAGGCTCCTCTGTTACAGGTACGTTGATCCCTAAGAGCTGTGTGGAAGCCCTGAGGGATGCACTCTCAGCTGATGCAGAAAAAACAGACGAGCAAACATTTTGAAGGAAAGGAGATGTCTAGGTAATGGCATGTGCCATGACCACTTTAACCTTTCCATTTTTGTGCACATCATTCCCTCTTGCAAATAAATCACCTCCACAACTGAAGTACAGCATCTTTACATAACCTACAAATAATAATCCTCCTCCTGCTCCCACATTCTTGATGACTTAATTTGCAAGATGTTTCTCTGCCAAAATTGTATATATATATATTTTTTTTTTGTTTCCTTGTCGAAGTATGTGCATGCCCAGCTCATGATGTAGCTACCCTTACAAGATTTGTAAGAATATCTTCATATAATCCAGAAGTGTCTATCCAACCATCACGCCTTTCTAAGAAACTTATAGATCAAATGAAGATCTGAAATTTTACATATAAGAGCAATTTATACTGAGAAAACAGCATGTATTTGAATCCCAGGCCACACATTTGTGCAATTATCTTTGTTTGCAGGTTACACGGACCAAGCTGCTCTATGGCTGCGGCATGAAGGCGGGCAGCAACGTAACCTTCTGTATTGTGTTCCCATCTTACTTTTATTAAACATTGTCTCTGCCTCGTGAACCCTGGCAGCGCTTCTTTCTCTTGTACGTTTGCGCTTACAGACACACACACACACGTGCGAGTGAAGTATTGTCAGATGGAAGTGGCACTGATCAGCAAGCACACTGTTACTGTCCAACGCCCAACCAGAACGTTAACTATAAGCTGCATTTTAAGGGCCGTATATTCTGGTAGAAGCTTATTGACGTTTCGGAGATGCTTGCTGTCTCCGTGACAACACGGCGAAACAACTTACAGGATATCCATGTTGATTCTCGTCGCCGTGAGAGCCTAAAATCTCACCAAACCCATTTTATTTTACGTTTTTATGTTGTAATTAGAATATATTTGCCAGTTCTGTATGGTTATATATCATGGTGAGTGACAATATCAATTACAAATGTTTCAAATTGAAACTTCCAGGAAAATAGTTGGATCTGAGAAAGCTGAAGTGACCAATTGGTAGTGTATTTTGTGATCTGCAGAGGTAACGTAATATTTTTGGGATGACCATATCGAGGAGGCTGCTATGGGTCGCTGGTGTGACTACACTGGCCGTAGCAAGAATTTTATTAAGGAAAACCTTTTGGAATGCGTTCACTTAGGAAGCCAGTGACATGGCACAGCGGTACAAAGGCTTGCATGTACCACATGCTGCAATATTCACTACCTCTCCATTTTTCCACGGTGCTTTTTTTGTATCATCCCCAGAATAAACAGCAATTATTTTCTTAAACAACATTAACCAAGTAACGGGGAAGCGTTACTTTCTTTTCTGGGGGGGGGGGGGGGGGGGGGGTGTAGAATTTTCAGACTGTCGGGTTACGTACTCGGCTGACTTTAACTGTAGCAAGCTGTGAACGATGTAGCGTAGATGTGTTGTGGGTGGTAGGACTCTTGTTCTACAATGTGACAGGATCTGGCCAGCCATCATCTTGCCAGCGTTACATAATGCGACTGTCGGACTCTGTCACAAGTTAGTTTTAGAACTGCCAGTATCTTGATCTAGACCATTTAAGTGTTACAGTATATATGTTCACTACTCTACTATGTGCATCACTCATCTCTCTTGATTTTTAATTATGGAATCAGGTTAAAACAAAAAGTGAAAATAAGGTATTGAAATACAATGGAAAAATGCAAGAAATGTGAATTGTTAAATTTGTTCATGTTTCTTATTTTTGACAAGAATTTGTTTATTAGACACACCAATGCAAAATGAATGCTGTACAGTTGTCTGAACAACCTTCACCATTTTGTGTTATTTATAACATAACATAAAACTGTGCTGTCCAAAAAAGAAAAATGTTTTATTTCTCATATATACAAAAATAAACAAATTTGCTGATCCCCACTCCTGTATTGTAATAAGGCACAGAAATTGCTTGTGGAATTAAGGTGTCTGCTGTGTGCATTGGTTTCCTCAAGTCCAGCTTCTGGAGTATATTAATATGGCATCCTCATCGGTCCCATAACTGCATCTTGCTTCATCTAGCATTGCAAAGGACATTGCACAAACCCCTGAAATACAACTTTCAGGTAATGAAGCTGGAAACAAGAGCACACTACAAACTTTCTCGAGTCCATACCCTTTGCTGTATCCAACATTACAAAAAGAAATCTCTGTACTTCAATTTTAATTAAGAAATAGGGGTATGGCTTTCTTTGCAAATAAAAAATGTGTAAAACAAAATGTGATTAAATGATTTTAGAAAAATAATTTATGGCAACTGTGGCATACCTCAAAACTCTTGAATCCACATAATTTGCCTAATGCCTTGTGAAGCGAATAGTCACACAGCTAGTCAAGAAATTCTCTGTCTCTTTTGGAACCAGAAGGTTCATTACATGTTCACAGTAGACTGCCATCTATGAAACAGACCCCAGGAACAACTTTTATACTCACTGTTTCTGAACGTCGGATTACGAAACAAGAACTTCTCATTGGACAAGTTGTATCCACACAGCACAATGTAGTGACCTGCAATATTAACATTGTTCAGGCTGCTGTTACACCTGTACTGGGGTGCTCCGTCACTTGTTATCTGTATTGACCATTTGGGTTGAGACGGACATGCCACATTGGTTCTTACTCATAGTACAAGGAACTGATGGCATCAGCTGAACAGTGTCCAGTAACACAGTTACAGATGATTCATTTCATAGCAGTTGAATGCTAATGCTGATCAGCTTGTCATCCTACATACCAGTGTAAGTGGTGCCCCATGGCAAGCAGCCTCGCAGTTCTGATGTGAATTTGTTAACCTTACAAATGTCACAATGCAAGAGTGAAGCATTTGTGAGCAGGATAACAGGCCCTGATTCTGAGAGGTGATGAACCAAGTCTTCACACGTGAGTGATGCTTTGCGGACCAGGATGCCTCTCTCTGCCGCCTCCAGGAAACGCTTAGTCACCCTTTCCTCATCCTGCATGTATATATGAAAGTGCACACCAGTGAAAGAACTGGTCTAGGATATTACACTTCTTGCATAACACAGAATCCAACAGATGGTAATATATTTGTAAATACATAAAAGGAAAATTTAGAAAAAGAAATGAAAAATAGGCTACAATCTAAAGTTAAACAAATGAGAATATAAATTAAATATGGCTGTATGGGTTCTTCTCAGATATTACCAACTATTTTTTTAGGACTATGTAAAGTTCAGCTTATGCCTTAAAAATGAGGACAGAATTCCAAACAAGGTTCTGAATGTGACAATGTAAGGAAAATTCCCAAGATGGAGACAGTTAAAGGAGGTTAGGTAAGATGTACCACAGAGGAAAGAGAAAAAACAGGGAGGGACGCAGTGATCAGACAACCCACACCCAGCCCATCGCAGTCTCCCAGATTCTACAATAATAGTCCTAGGGATTCTGTATAAACCACTGAGTGCCCCATTATGTAGTATCCTAACTTCCCCGCCTTCCTTACCCTCCTTCAGATGAAATTTCTCTCAGTAATTTGTTTCAAAATTTATGTTCTTCCCTCACAGTAAGAGACCACATTTCACATCCATACAAAGTAAAGTGTGATAGTCATAATAACAGGAAGTGAGACATGCTTACAGGTGACACCTTGAATCAAACGAACCTTCTGCAAAATTTTATTGTAGAAGGACTGTCCTCGATAGCCAGGGTGGATCCCCAGGGTAACTGTGCAATAGAGGTGGCTCACACCATATCGCTTCAACAAGTAGCACAGGTCAATGGTCCAGGTGCTGCGCAGACAAAACATGATCAGGCTTCAAGTGACTCCTGAGCCTCTCATTTACATTTGATTTCCTTTCCTAGAATGCACTCCACCTTAGCTTCTATAGTTGATATAATATCATTTGAAAATTGTATAAAAATGTATAGCATTTCCTGTGCTCATAACACAAACCTCAAATTTATCAGCTCTGTTTTTATACTAAACAGCAACACAAGAACAGGGCAGAAACTAAATGGTTCTCTACGTTACCAACTAAAAAAAATTAGAATGTCTACATAAAAAAAAAGGCTGTTGCAGTTAATACAATAGAGAATTGCAAATTAATTTCTATTGTTGCCTAGCTGGTTAAAATATCACATAGTAGTATTAATTATTTTCACTTCCTGTGGAAAGGAATACATGATCAACCATCAATAATGTCGCAGCATTATGGGCATCTGAAATGGACTTCTGCTCTGATCTGATGCAATTGATCATCCATATCACTTTCAGTCAATGTGAAACCCTCAAGTCTCCATGATTTAAAGCATAAAGATCAATGATTGAAACAGTGGGGCGAAAAAAAAGTGTGATGATTTCAAATACAAGGTTTTTGAAACTTTGAATTTGAACCTTTAAATAAAATACAGTTTGAATGATTCTGATATAACTTTACATTACGGTAACAAATATAATTTTTATGAACTAATTTAAAAATCTTCCAAATAAGATATGTAAGTTTAAGATTTCATAATCTTCCTCTAAAAAAATAAAATAGTGTGAATCAGAGAATCTTTTAATCAACAGTACAATTAGTATTCTGCTGCTTGTGGTGATCTAGGTTGCTACATCATGCAGGTTTGTAGGTGGATATCAATATTTCAATGAGACATACTACCTCCATCTTTATGGCTGAAGTGTACATGGTCTACAAGACTACGTGTCACAACACAGGTGTAATGGACAGCTTCAGTACCATGAGTTGAACACTGAATCTCATATTGCAGTGCTCTGTTTCATCATCATTATGTGTCACCAGAAAGTAAAGCCACAGTTACACTTGTTTGACCTAATACCAAGCAATTACAAAAATACGAGGTTGGCTCTGACAAGAAGTGGGATGGCATTCCACCTCACTTAAAGCATTCTTAAGTGTTAAGCTACAAGCAAAATATGCAAAATACAAAGCATTGGACAATGATCTCACATTAAGCAAGCTACGACTAACTGAAACAGAGAACCTCAAACTACTTCCCACTTTTCAAGTAGACTGCCAACTAGATGTAAATTACTTTGCGTTATAATTATACCTTTTGTTAAAACCCTCTGCCTTACAGACTTCACTGAAATTAATAAGCAGATGTTCTCGTTGTGTTGGTGGCAGAACCATCAAGACACATGAAACTCCACAATCCCAATTAAAACGCTGACGATGATGTATGAGGTGCAATTCCAGCCTAGGCTGAGCATCTACAACAAATTACGTATTTTAAAATTGTTAAGTAACATCCGCTAACTTACTACAATGTGTATAGAAACATTTAGATAATAATCCTACTTTTTTCAGCGTATTTCGAGACTTCCATAGCATCCTATTATATGTCGATTCAGTAGTTTATGTTTTGAAAATATAAGGACTTCGTAATATTGGCTTATTTTATTGTATTATACACAAACAAATAAACCCCTTAATAACTTCTTAACTATAATCTACTAAATTCTTTGACACTTAAACATTGTGTTTTATTAATTATCTTCCTTTCCGAACTCCTTGAAAATTTTAAAGCATCACGTAGCGCACGAATGCAGTTACGCCAACATGGAAATAGTTTGTTTGAATAATTATTGAAAAACTCTAACACTTAGGAATATTTTTATGGCGAGTATATAACCAGAAACAAAGTAAATTAAAGTAAATAATGAAACGAAAATTTACTTTCCGTAGTAGTGGGGTATGTTCTATTCTACTCTATTCAAATTACTAATGTATATTGGTCATACTGAAACCTGAAGGTGCAAAGGAGATGTGTTGAAAGCGTCTGTGTTTCAGTTCGAAGGAGAGGTTTACGGTATATTAAGATGTCTATTGGGGTGCCGATTAAAGTTCTACACGAAGCCGAAGGGCACATCGTAACGTGCGAAACAAACACCGGCGAAGTGTATAGAGGGAAACTGATTGAGGCGGAGGATAACATGAACTGTCAGATGATAAATATCACTGTTACATACCGGGATGGAAGAGTAGCACAGCTAGAAAACGTGTACATTCGTGGATCGAAAATCAGATTTCTTATTTTGCCAGATATGTTGAAGAATGCCCCTATGTTCAAACGTCAAGGCAACAAAGGGACTGGTGGAGCCGGTAGAGGGAAGTCAGCAATTCTTCGAGCTCAAGGTTAAATAATAATTACGCAGCTTTTGTATTGCAACTGCTTGAGAGTGACAGAGTTATTGTTGATTTCTATCACGTAATGTAACCGAACCTTATAAATGTGTGGATACCGTCATCACTTCATAACGTTTCAGCTGTCTGATAATAGTGTATTTTTTTAAATCATAGTAAATGTGGCTCCAAGTTGTTCATATATGAAGTTTGCTTTGTAGTCAAATATGAACTTTAATTTTGTAGCACATTGAATATTTGTCGTTAATATAATGTTGTGGACACGAATATTGATCCCTTGTGACTCCTTACAGCTGCACGTGGACGGGGTCGTGGTGGACGTGGCCGAGGAGGTGGCAGCTGGCAGGGTGGCCCTGGAGGAGGTCCCGGAGGTGGGAGAGGACGGGGAGAACGATCATGAACGTCATTCACATTGGTGTGCAGTTTGACACTGAAAATCAATTTCAACATTCAGTACATTGAATATTTAAGTAAATACAAGTGCATTTTTTTGTATGCTGTATAATAAATTCATAAAACATTCTAAACTCCTTCTTGGCAGGTTTTTCTGTAGCACTGTTCAGTAGGCACTTTGCAGGTTTACAGATGGATTAGTAAATCACAAGTTGTAGAGTTATAGTAGAAAGTCTCATTTAGTGGTCTGTGTGACACTAGAGCTGTTATACCATGGTCTATATTTATTATACTTTACTTAACCATACTTTGCTGATGTTGGATTTCTGCGGTGGACTTGTAAGTGCATACCAATATTTTGGAGTAACATTGTGTATCCATCTCCTCTGCAGTGTTGGTATTTACCTACAAGTTCACAGGATGTTACAGCTCAGGAGACCAGCATTGGTATCACTGCAGTGAGGTATATAGAACAGAGTGGCAATTGAAAGTGTGTAGAAGCATCAGTTGGCACTATGTTGTTCATTAATCAAAATACCACTGCAGTTTATTTTGTTTATTACTCTTTATCAGAAGCTAGCGCATCATTTGTTATCACACTGGAGTGTACGTTGCAACCAGTGAACTCATTTGTTTGGAAAGGAAATTTCTGAAATTTCTCTGTCACACATTTACTAGACTTGTGTTTACTGAACCATAAATGTCTTAACCACAGCAGAAGGATGCAGTGTGTATTTATATTGTCTTCAGGATACTTATTGTCCATGGAATGTGGATCACTTACAGAAGAAATGAAACGAGTGGAATTATGCATTGTTCAGATACAAAGTTCAAAACAAATATATTCAGTGGATTGTTTTTAAATGTTTTAATAATTCAGTACTTGACAATAAATATAATCATTCAGCTGTGTCCACATACATTTTTGAAAGATTTCCCAGCCTCAGCTTATATGAATATAGATATACACATGATTTTCTACATATGATGTAATTTACAATGGCCATCTAGGCTTCAGAAAAGGAATATTAGGTTGATAGTAATAAAATGTGTGAAAGAACTCTGATGTTGCTGATGGGCACAAGTGAAGTGAGACTTAATCAGTTTACTCCAAAGATCAAGTTCTTTTGCCATACCAAATTTTTAGAAGTATTCATTGCCTTGGAATGATTAGATGGTCCAGTCCAACAGGGAGGCTTCATACAGGGAATACGAAAAAATAAGGGCTGGGTCAGAAGAGAGGGGTAAGGGATGGTCTGGGTTTGTGGCAGAGCCGATTCAGTAACACAGGATGCCCGGGCAAAACCTAGGGGAAATCTATTTTTGAGGTTGGGGTACATCTCAAGAAGAAGACTTGAAGAACCAAAGGCCAGTGGAAGCAGCTGCCTTCGACGAGAGAGACGCGCTGATGCGGAAACCATTTTTAGGTAAAGAATAGAAGAACTGGAGCAAGAAAGTACATGATCATACTGCCGGTAGGTAAGTAGTTAACATTCTTACCGATTGACCTACCGTTTACATCACCAACCTATATAGTTCTGTATGTACACGAATGGGTAAGAGATAACGGCACAGTACACTCTCCGTTTGTAAAGTACTCATCGGTTAAAGTTGCACATCTGTATGTACATTGCAGATAACGCGACTGGAAATCCCTGATGGAGGTCGTCGAGTATGCGTGATGTAGCTGGAGTGGTATGTTATGAGGTGTGGGGAGTTGGTTGCTCGGAATTTTCCTGTTACGTGATGACCGTTTACTTTTTTGTTTATCATAGGAGTGCAAAATGGTTGGAAGCAGAGAATAAGTTATAATTGCTTTTAGAATTCATTCGCATAATGGTCTAATCAATATAACCAAACACTACAGGCTCTTTGAAACATGGGGCGCATTCCCTACCTCGGAAAGGGCAGCGAGGTAAGCGGCCGGCAGAGTTAATATCGACAGCGTAATTAAGCCAACCCGTCAGATTTTATAACAGGTGGGTGTCCTTCCGTTTCAGCGTCGAAGTTCAATGGTTACGTCTGCTTCTCTGCTTTTGATGTCGGTGTTTGGTTCAATTGGAATGGCAACCGGGTCTGTGTTACTTTTGGGACCTGAAGATCGCATCTCATTGACCCGTGGAGCCTGGCTGTCTCTTTTGGGTTTAATATTTTTTGTGTCACTGTTTGACCTCCTCAATCACGTTGCTTTAAGCACGTCAGTGGGTCATATGTTCCAAAAGAAGTATGAACTCACACTGGCAGAAGTCATGGATATATCTAACAAGTGAGTATGTGAACATCTCATATTTTTCATATCGTATTTTTGAAGTTTCCTTAAGCTTCAGAAATGGCAGCTTCCCGTCCATTCCCCACTCAGCATTTTAGATTCATTTCGTGACACACCATAATCAAGTTATCTTGCTTAGAATGGAATAGAATTTATTTACATTCCATAGATGCTTGATAGGCCTAAGCCAAGGATGTAGAACAGGTCATAGCACAAATACAATACTTGTTTGTAGTACAAATATAGAACAAGAAAACTACTCATAACACTCCATGTAAACATAACATAATTAAATTGTAAATGCATTGGTGCTGCTCTTGCCATGAACAGGAACATGATCACATGTTCAGGTGTGCACACATATAAAAAAAACACTTGTCATTTTGTACAAAATGTTTCTGCCCGCCCTAAAGCAACCTAAGCTGACCCAATGCAATCTGACCAGCATCAAATATAGATAGGATTGTATTGTGATTCAGACTTTTTGTAGTGGTAGGTGGAAGATTATTTAATAATTTAATCCCAGAATAGTAAACTCCCTTTAGATATTTACTGAGGTTAGAATTTGGCATATGAAGGTTGTATCTGTATCTAGTTCTTATATTATAGATATTTGAATTTGTTTGAAATTTTTCGATGTTATTCACTACAAATGATAATAATGAGAGCAAGAATTCACTGGCTAGTGGAAGAATATTAAATTCCTGAAATAATCTCCTACATGAGGTTCTTTTAGTGCCTAGTATTGTAATGATTTTCTTTTGAATGCAAAATACTTTTTTGGTGTATGTTGAGTTTCCCCAGAAAATAATTTCATATGACATGATCAAATGGAAGTAAGCAAAGTAGACTAATTTTAAACTTTCCACTTTCATGTGACAATCCTCAGCAAAGCATGCTGAGCTTAGTTTAAGGACTATGTATTGAATATGTGTTTTCCAATTTAAGTTATTGTCAATTTGTAGGCCTAGAAATTTAGTTGCTACTACTTCTTGAGTTGTTAACATAAGCTAAACTGCCAGGCCATACACTAGACCTTATGTGTGATGGGTTTACTTACTACACATATTTTTTGTTTTCGTCATAAACTTATATCTCTTTAGGAGTAATATTTCTCTCCCTCACTGCAAAGAAGTTTGATTGACATGTTTCATATGTGAGTCACTGAATCACATTAAGTTTGACGACAGAATTGGCCTGATCCAAATTCTTAATTTGCATTCCTTAAGAAATATTGTTTCAGTGACTGCTACAAGAAGGGAGATTGGCAAGACATGTAGCCAGCATGATAAATGTGACATTTTGGTTAGAAAATGTCAGAGGAATGGAGGTGTAGGCATAGATTGCAGAATACTATTAAAATTTATCTTACAGAAACAGGGTGTTAAGTGGTTTACATTAAGTTCTGTGTAGTATGGAGTTGGTATTTAATCTTCAGGATGTTGGGGAAATGTAAGGACACTGATTTCCCTTTCATCTAAAACTTGTATTGTTTATTGTTATGTTATTGATTTAAGATGCTAATGAAGAAGAAAATATCTTTGATATATCCTGTATTGTCAAGTTCAGTAAAATGCTGTTACCAGAAACATTGTTTTTAGGACATAAGCATTGGAGTTGGCTCTGTGCTTTTCAACTCTTGTTCACTTGTAATTTTGTCTACTGGAAAATAAAAGCAGTGGAGTGGTTGCTTTCTTGTCAGTGAGTGCGCGTGAGCCGAGCACAAAGGTGCTCCATGTTTCAGGACTGTATCAGCCGTGCAGGCATTGCTGTCCTGTGTGACGGGCACAATTGTCTGCATCTGGTCATGTACTCGCAACTTCCTTCGCTCCTCGCATTTCCTGTCGGAAGCATATGCCTGGTTTGGTGCCGCTTACTTCTTTTACGACATCTGGTCCATGTACCGAGTGCACAGAAGCCATGACGTGAATGATCGCGGTTGTCGCTTGGCTCGTCTCAAGGATTACCTCACCAAACAGCCAGTCATTGTGCTTCATCACCTATTCATCGGTTCCTTTGGATTGTTAGTCATAGTGGTGAGTGCAGATGAAGTGCCACAGACTGATGTGTGAATATTGTGACTTATTTATAAGACTTGAAGCTAAATGCAGAGAAGTCTTCTCAGCTGATCTGCGATATCAGTACAAGAGGCTTTCTTTTGCCCTACCATCAGTCTGATGATGGAAGCAGAAACATTCTCAAAAGCAATGCAAACTCATTCCATACACGTACGGTTGATCACCTGAGAAGACGACATTGACTGGTTTCTGTTGCAGTACCTACGGGGCGGTTTGGGTGACTGTGTGTTTGGGTTTGTATACCTCATGGAGTTGAGCACCCCATTCGTTTCATTCCGTGGAATCCTCAGCAAGTTGAAAGTGAGTCTCCATTGTAGTGATTTCAGTGTATGTTTCCTCATCGATAGAATGTCTTATGTGCTGTGGCAATGTTTCAGATGAAATCATCACAACTGTATATCATCAATGGCCTGGTGATGCTAGTCACATTTTTCTTCTGTCGTGTGGTGATGTTCCCCTACGTCTTCTACCTGTACAGCCAGCTTGTTGGATTGTCATATTGGGAGGTGAGGATTGCTTTCACAGTCAGTAGTTTTGACATAATACTCTTGTCCTGTTGACCAGAAAGGAGAAAAGAAAAAAAGCTGAGGTTTTTCATATCTGTGTTGGAGTGAAACATTTTCTTCTTCCTGCTTTTTTATTTTCTTCAAAATTTAGTTCAAAAGGCCAACATTAAAATCTGACGAGTACATTTGCCTTTGAGCTGTGACAGTTCATCTGTTTTCCTACAGATGCAGATGGGATGATGCATATTTATACCTATCTTCCTGATAGAATAAGTTGTTTGTGTCATGTGACTTTTTTTATATACAGGTTTTCTCAATTTATGGTTAGCTTCTGTATATTGTGATGTATTTCATTGTGTATATTGTGTGCTAGAATGCCGCAGTTATTGTGATTTAAGTAAAAATTTTCCATGACTTTTTTTATCCCTCAGTATTCATTAACTTATGCCAGATCGATCAGTTATCATACTGAAGCTTTGGAGCGTGACCCCGCGTTTCCTGACGGACAGACCTATTATAGTGAAACATCCTGTTGTGTTTCTCTGTATAAAAATGTCATTCATAACAGCAGTGATATCACGAACAAACTGTGCACACAACTTACATTATCAGCTGCATGTTTCAACCTAACATACTTATCAGTAGTCTCGCAGTTCAATGTTCAAGATACGTGTTTATTACAAACACACATATTTGTGATAAAAGGTGATACTATTTTGAACATACTTGATATTGGTATATCAAATAAAATGCATTGAAACTAAATCATATACAGTGTTAATTCTTAATATATGAACATGTACTTAGGGTATTTTTATATTTATTTAGGAGTGTAAGTAATTGGAGTATGGAGTTGTTGAAGCATATCTTTTCTAGTAACAACTGTTGAAACTGTTCATATTTGGGGTTTCTGTAATAAAGGGCAGAATTAACGAATAATTATATGAAAATTACTAACAGTGAAAATGTGCACTATCTGCATTGTATAAAGTTGAAGACATTCTACATGTAATATAATTATGTGGGATATTTAAGTATGCACATGGTTGGTTTGTATTCCTAACAATATTACCACGTGTAACTGAGAAAGCTCGAGTAATGCTGAACGCATTTCTTTGCAGGCCCTGTGGTCACTGCCAATTGGATGCAAGCTCGGTGTCAGTGTACTCTTATTGCCACAGTTTTATTGGTTCAGCTTGATGCTATATGGAGCCGTACGCGTGTTTGCCCGTCGCAGACGCCCCACCGCGATCATGAAGCGCACACGACTGAGCTGATCAGGTTGGTGAGGGCGCAGGGGTACAGAAGAGCATCAGCAAAGTCAATTATCTTGTACCTTATTAGTTCCTGATTACATTTTGCTTTAATGAACTGTTTCATCAGAAGAAACAATTTAAGACAGTCGTAAGAACTTTGCCTTGTTTGCAAAGCAAGCATCTTACAGTCATTATGCCACGTCAAAGTGGTTTGTGTAGGCTTCAGTATTATTTTTGCAGTTCATAATAAAGACAGGGTTGAGAATGTCTGTGCTGCTATTGTAATGTTTTGTTGTTGGGTTACATTCAAACAAACTGGGACAATCACGTAGCGTTGATGTGCTGGGTCGCACTTATGGCTTCCAGCCTTTTGAGCTTCCTTCTTCCAGTCAAAACAGAATTATGATAGACTAAATAATAAAGTTTTGCGAGGAAACAATCAATATTGCCTGTACCATTAGCGAAGTTCTAGTCATTTTGAGGGCACCGCTTGTCATCACAATTGTGCGGTATAAACCGTGACATTCCGAGGTGCACGTGTTTTGAATCCGTGTTTGGGGTGACCATCTGCTACTTTTCTGATTTGTTTCGTCTGTGATTCAAAAATTGCTGATTCTCCTCCTCACGCAAGGAAGGCAGTTAATGCAGATAGGCTACGTGCAATTAACACAAAGTTATTTCATTTCAGCTTAAGAATTAAGGTTGTATTTCTGTAAATCAGCTTTTGAATAGTGTTCATATTCTCAGAAGTCATCAGTGAACAGGAAGATTCACACATTACTGCATGTTGTGCTGTAGTACTTCTTGTCTTGTGAGAGAATGTTAATGATTTTCTTGACAAAGATGTGAACTAAGAATTACCTGTAATTTCAACTTCAGTAAATTTCGTGAATAGTCCGTGAGGGGCTGAGAATATAAATTACTCTTTACTGTAATTCAAAAGTTTGAGTTGTGATGAGAGGACACGTAGGTATGTTATAGAGAGAGCTTTGAATTTTGTTAGCATGTGCAACAGTAATCCATATGAAAATTACACATAACGTTCAGAAAGTAGGTAGATTTCAAATACTGTCACAGGTAAACTTATGCTGTAAATATAAACTTGACTATTGTTAACATTACTTTTTCAGCTGTACTTGTGGCATTAATGGGTCAAACAGTACCTTTATAGCAAAGAGAATGTAAAAAGAGGAAAATTATGAGTGTTATTGTGGTAGTTGGAACAAATGGCAATTTAATGTATGGCTTGTCTGTCTTATCAAAATACATTGATGCTGATGGAGGAGGAGTAGCAAGACAATTGCCCCTTGTTTTGCAGAACCGGACATGTAATGGATTGCCCACACAAGAGCTTCCACTTTTGTTCTTCCGTTGAAATGTAAATGCTTCTCATAAAAGACTTGTACGTTTTAGATCTGATTATGACATAGAAGGTTTCCTTTGCAGTGTCAATGCAAGGAAATTGCTGTAACGATATGATGTCATGGCCCATACAGTTAAAACGGTACGTAATCATTATCCCGCATTCTTCCGTACGCCTTTTTTTATAGGCATTGTTCAGAATCTTCTTCCTTACGCAAATAGCATAAATAATGTGCTCTGCATGAACAAAGGCAAGTCAGTTTTCTAGTCACTACATGTAGTGATGTTACAGAATTTAATGAAAGTACAATTATGCGGAGCTTTGGTACTAAATTAGGTAGAACTTAGGAGAGGATATATCATGTTATTTTTTGTGAGAATAGCATGATGCTGCAAACCAGTTGAAAAGGTTTGTCCAAAGGGCTAAAGTGGCATTGTCTTTTTCAGTATACACTACATGGGTGTGGTAAACAAACTAAAATTTATAGGAAGATTTTAGATAGATCTGAAGAAAAAATTGTGAATGAAGTTGTTTTGTGTATTTTGAGGTACAAATGTCAGAATGTATACAGTATACAAACAGTTGGAACAGCTGCAGTTGGTCACCCTGCTCATACATTAGAAAGCAGCAAACTTGTCAGTTTTAGTTTAGGTTTATGTCACTTAGTAGCGCCATTGTATTTATTAGAGGTTTGTGTCTCCATGTTGTGTTTGTTTGTTTGTCGAGGCATGTCTCTATAGTGGATTCCCCATCTTGTAATACTTGTAACTGGGTAAGCAAGATTTTATTGGTGAAAGGAAGATTCAGTTGCAGTTCCAGATAAAATACTAACACAAGTGGTCTATAGTGAGTTGAAATATTTTTGATTGTGAGAAAGGAAACAGCACTTTGAGAATTAGAAGCTTTTCTTCTCCTGGAAGTGATAAAGGTTTTTGTTCAGGCACTCTCTCATCCACACCTGCTTCCCGTAACCATTCAAAAGTTATTCATAATTACCAGCCTGTGTGGTTTTTAATCAGCACTAGCTGAATGTCAAGTACATTTTGAAAATAATTTTTTGCCAGTTTTAGCAACAATTTTGTATCCTGTTTAAGCACATTCTATTAAAGAAAGTGTAAATATGTCTATTTTATTTGCTAATAGAAGGCAGCTACATGATAATTTTCTATTACCTATGATAATTGTTAAGAGCCTTGCCTGTTTTCTGTTGATTTACATCTGACATCTGGAGATGGTTGTGATATATTTTAATCATCTGCAAAGGACTAACAATGCATTCTACTTGTTTTATACTTGACATACAGTTATGCTGAAATGCACATGTGGAAATTGTATGGAACTGCAGCCCACAAATGAGTCACTCGCAGATATGTGTTAATGTGTTTGTGTCTAGGTGGCTGTTTCATGTAGAACAAAACAAACATGTTTTCAGATGTTCCTATACAAAGCTATTTATTGCTGTGCTATAATAAACAGTCAAGGTGTACTTTAAAAGAAACTCCTGTTGTACCAACAAATAGTGCTTGAAATGTTATCACAGAACTAATATTGTTATTTACATTATTTTAAAAAAATTTATGGAAGTGGCCCAAGGGTATGGCTATCTGCAGGTCAGTGGATGGGACTTACAGGTTAGGTCTTGGGCCTTACACTTTGTCCACTAGTCAGATCAAGTCATAAATGGAATGTTTTCCTTTGTAATCCACAGTACATCAAGTTAGAAACCGAATACTTAAGAGAAATTAGGAAGGTAACTAACTACATCTCTCATACAATGTACTGTACAAATCAAATGATGTATCTTTTGTACAAGATGTGATCTACGCAGATTTGTGTTGTAATCACACTCATCTGTGTTCTGTGGAATAGACTGAGACAGAATCGCGTACATTTCTTTTTATGTGAACATGCATTTTAAGGTTGTTTGTTTTATTTAGCGTGGACAGAATGGTGTATCCTTCCAATTCTTTACAGCTATAACAATAAAAATTGTTCCAACATTGTGAAGATTACACCAAAAGTCAGTTTTATTTTTTCACAAATTTTTAACACAGTTGAAACCCAGTACACAATTCCAGTTTACAAGATGTGTCCAATTATCTGTATACTTATGCATCTAGTTTCCATTACAGTCCTACACATTCAAACGAGGAAGCAGTGCGATTAAACACGGACAAAAATTTCATCTTGTTGATTTGTGAAGCAGTGAACAGCTCTTTTTAACATTGAATTCAAAATGGTGCCCCCACAGACCATCTTTCAGAGGAGCCAAGTGTGGCATGTATGCAGATCGTAAGGAAGGGTGCCACTGCCCCCGATCTTTGCACCCCTATCAGCTTATGTGGTGTGGTACAGTCTTGTGTTGGAGTTGGGGTAACCTTCGTGACTTACAAGTACTTGTTCTATCCCACCTTGTACATCAATCTTTGTTGTCATGACAACTAGTTGAACCCCGTGCTGTGAGGCTGCTGGCCACACTTACACCTCAGAACTAATGGTTTAGTGTTATGGTGCTGCAATGTACGGCCAGCTGGACTCTGCCCAAGCCTTGACACGACCGATAAATGTTAATAAAAGGGGGGGGGGGGAACTGATTCAATTGAACTTTATTTAGGTCCATGTATATGCTTCAGCTCTGAAACTATGGACTTCAGTTGTGCCTGGTATTGAGATACTTATGCTGAAAGCTGCTAGTTCTTATCAAACATTTATTTAAGCCTACATCATGTATGTATCAAATCAGACCATCAATTTCCTCAAAAATGGGCTGTTTGAAAAAAGAAGTACACGGATCATTAATATTTACAACATTTATTTGAAAAATTTCAGTATGGTGAAAATTTAATGAAATCAAAGTAAGAATAATATGATGTGCATTGATGATAATTTTAATTTCCCACCTACTTTCAGTGTAGCAAAGTGCAGGTAAAAGGAAACCCCACAATATTAAGTTTCTCCTGCTTCCTAAAATGTACCCATCCCTTATCATGTTACTAATTACTCTGGGCTTGAAAACTTAAAACAACAGAATGCAATGATAGAATGGCATATATCAGTTACTGATTAGCTTTGTAAACAATAAACAAGACTATTGTATGAAGTGCAATATATTTACTGCTAATTTCCTTTACCAATTAGACACAATTCCAAATTTAAATTTATTTTCTCAGAAACAGCCCATTCTAAAAAAAAATATTGATACAATGGATTACTGGTGTTCACTTTTAATTTTGTTAACTTTCATAGCTTTGTGTAATAGCAACTGATTGTGATTTACATTTTATGACTGGATAATAAAAATGAATGTTATTCAATATGTACATTAACATTCAGCCACATTTAAATATTACATCATGTGAATGGTTACAAACATAGCAATTAACATGTAAATAAAGAATACTGTTATAGAGGCATTCAAGTTATTTCAGAGGTGTATCCTGTATGATCTTTAAATCATTGCGATTACATTAAGCAATGCTAGTTGTGTTCTTTTATGTTGGAATGAAAGTTAGCTCAGTATGCCTGTAGTGGGTACTTTCTTCTAGCACAGATATTAATGAAGTTTATATTGCAAATTATTGTTAAAATAAATAACTAAAATCATGTGTTAAAAATGGCTCTTCAAATAACCAGGCTGCCATTTCACATTTCAAGTGTTTTTGTCTATCTTGCTACATGTTTACCAAAAGGAGATACGTTGGTTGAAGTATCGAGGATAACGCTAATTGTCCAATGCATCTTCTGCGATGTGAGGAAACACTCCATCCTGTACGTTAATCAGAGCATTCTACATAAATGTACAGAGCATAAAAATGCATGAAAACTGAATTTGTATTTTGTTGGAAGGTGCCAAATTTTAAATTTGATGCCGACAGCCTTTGGCAGCTCACACTTCACTTGCGTAGATATCAACACATTCCTTGCAGTACCAATCACCACGGCTGACATGCTTCAAGAGGCCTCGTCCCCAACCTTATCCTGGTCCTTATCTCCATCATAGAACTCATTGGTTGGCTCAACGCGTCGATCCTCATCTGCCTGACTCACCCGAACGTCAGGGTCTGTCTCATCGTGGCCACCACCATCTTGGGAGGGAAATGCATCGCCAGGAACATCGTGCATCTGAACACTGGGAGAGTGCTGACACATCTTGAGGTTGTCGTACACATGTTTCGTGATAGTCTCAAGGTACTGCTTGCTGTTGGCATTGTCCTGGCGTGAGACAACATCTGGGTGCAGTGTGAAATCAGGGGCAAAATACTCCAAATATTCAGTGTATGGAAGTTCATTGCTTATAGCCTCATCTACCAACAGAGAAGTCTCATATGTCCAGCAGCGGGCTACGTTACGAAGAGTGTACCCTCCGCCGCCCACAGCCAGGAGAGGCACATTCAAGTCACGCACAAACTTCACACACTCCCCATGTCCCTTTGTGCTGAGACTGAAGCAACCTAATCTGTCATTGGCAAGTGAATCTGCCCCACACTGCAGCACAATTGCTGTTGGTTGGTAGAATTCCATCACACTGGAGATTACAGGTTTGAATACTTGCACATAGCTCACATCATCAATGCCTTCCTTCAGGGGAACATTGACAGAATAGTAGCGTCCACTTTCCGCACCAACTTCGTACATATCACCTGTCCCAGGGAAAAAGTAGTTTCCATATTTGTGGAACGACACTGTCATGACTCGATCGGTGAGGTAGAATGCTTCCTGAACGCCATCCCCATGATGAACGTCTATATCGATGTATAACACCCGAGCATGGTACTTTAGCAACTCTAGAACTGCAATCACTATGTCATTCACATAACAGAATCCTGATGCTTCGAACTTCTTCGCATGATGTAAACCACCTGACCAATTTATAGCTATATCGCAACAATTATTGTTCAGTTTCATGGCCCCTTCCAAAGACGCTCCTGTGTACATTGAGCAGAAGTCAAACAAACCTTCAAACACGGGACAGTCATCACCGACGTTGAAATGACTTAAGTACTTCGTGAAGCCCTGCAAATTCTGGGGAGTCACTCGCTGAAGAAATTCGATATATTCGTCAGAGTGGAATCTGCACATATCATGAGCACTTGCTCGATATGGTCTATATATCTGCATTTTCTTATACAAACCATAATTGAGAACAAGACTATGGATAACTGCCAATCTATGTGGTTTCATTGGATGTCCCGGGCCATAATGGAAGTTCCCAACATCAGGGTTATAAAAGTAAGAAACTTTCTTGGAACTCATAATTAACCTTCGAATCCTCTATAATTCTACGGAAACATGTACCAGAGTATACATGACTAAATCACACGCAAAAATTATCACTACACTCATTCACATACAGGTTATGAACAACATGACCTTCCTTCATCACAGATGAAAAAACAAAAGAATCCGCAGCACAACTTTTAACTCTGTGAATTAAAACGCGTATATTCTTGTTTATAAACCGTGGACTATAACATCGACTGCAAACAGAATTACGGCCACCAAACAGACTGGTAGAGACATCTATACGCGTACCAAGTGAAACGGGAAAGGCATGTGCAGGATGATCACAAAGTTACAAAACCAATATTAAACTATTTATTGATGGTTGCAATTCAGTACAATTCTTGCGGATTTTGAAACCCAATAGCACTGTTATTATATAAACTTTATGCAGGTCACACTGCTAGCGTCAATTGTTTTCAGTCGAGGTGCAAGGGATGTTTCTTTCACAACAGCAAATAGTGTTCACTGTCATACACTGCATAACAACTCGTTCTTACTTTCTAGAATGGATCATCTATGGCAAACAAATTAACAATATCTCAAGATGGATGTCTTCTGGGTTGTTGCGTCACGTAGTGTAATCAGGAACAAACTTACACACGTTTCAGAGGTCCTTCCTGCCTCCATCATCAAGGTGATGAGCTGTGTAGTCTGGCAGAAGTTTACCGACGTTTATGAATGTGAGGAAACACTCCATCCTGTACGTTAATCAGAGCATTCTACATAAATGTACAGAGCATAAAAATGCATGAAAACTGAATTTGTATTTTGTTGGAAGGTGCCAAATTTTAAATTTGATGCCGACAGCCTTTGGCAGCTCACACTTCACTTGCGTAGATATCAACACATTCCTTGCAGTACCAATCACCACGGCTGACATGCTTCAAGAGGCCTCGTCCCCAACCTTATCCTGGTCCTTATCTCCATCATAGAACTCATTGGTTGGCTCAACGCGTCGATCCTCATCTGCCTGACTCACCCGAACGTCAGGGTCTGTCTCATCGTGGCCACCACCATCTTGGGAGGGAAATGCATCGCCAGGAACATCGTGCATCTGAACACTGGGAGAGTGCTGACACATCTTGAGGTTGTCGTACACATGTTTCGTGATAGTCTCAAGGTACTGCTTGCTGTTGGCATTGTCCTGGCGTGAGACAACATCTGGGTGCAGTGTGAAATCAGGGGCAAAATACTCCAAATATTCAGTGTATGGAAGTTCATTGCTTATAGCCTCATCTACCAACAGAGAAGTCTCATATGTCCAGCAGCGGGCTACGTTACGAAGAGTGTACCCTCCGCCGCCCACAGCCAGGAGAGGCACATTCAAGTCACGCACAAACTTCACACACTCCCCATGTCCCTTTGTGCTGAGACTGAAGCAACCTAATCTGTCATTGGCAAGTGAATCTGCCCCACACTGCAGCACAATTGCTGTTGGTTGGTAGAATTCCATCACACTGGAGATTACAGGTTTGAATACTTGCACATAGCTCACATCATCAATGCCTTCCTTCAGGGGAACATTGACAGAATAGTAGCGTCCACTTTCCGCACCAACTTCGTACATATCACCTGTCCCAGGGAAAAAGTAGTTTCCATATTTGTGGAACGACACTGTCATGACTCGATCGGTGAGGTAGAATGCTTCCTGAACGCCATCCCCATGATGAACGTCTATATCGATGTATAACACCCGAGCATGGTACTTTAGCAACTCTAGAACTGCAATCACTATGTCATTCACATAACAGAATCCTGATGCTTCGAACTTCTTCGCATGATGTAAACCACCTGACCAATTTATAGCTATATCGCAACAATTATTGTTCAGTTTCATGGCCCCTTCCAAAGACGCTCCTGTGTACATTGAGCAGAAGTCAAACAAACCTTCAAACACGGGACAGTCATCACCGACGTTGAAATGACTTAAGTACTTCGTGAAGCCCTGCAAATTCTGGGGAGTCACTCGCTGAAGAAATTCGATATATTCGTCAGAGTGGAATCTGCACATATCATGAGCACTTGCTCGATATGGTCTATATATCTGCATTTTCTTATACAAACCATAATTGAGAACAAGACTATGGATAACTGCCAATCTATGTGGTTTCATTGGATGTCCCGGGCCATAATGGAAGTTCCCAACATCAGGGTTATAAAAGTAAGAAACTTTCTTGGAACTCATAATTAACCTTCGAATCCTCTATAATTCTACGGAAACATGTACCAGAGTATACATGACTAAATCACACGCAAAAATTATCACTACACTCATTCACATACAGGTTATGAACAACATGACCTTCCTTCATCACAGATGAAAAAACAAAAGAATCCGCAGCACAACTTTTAACTCTGTGAATTAAAACGCGTATATTCTTGTTTATAAACCGTGGACTATAACATCGACTGCAAACAGAATTACGGCCACCAAACAGACTGGTAGAGACATCTATACGCGTACCAAGTGAAACGGGAAAGGCATGTGCAGGATGATCACAAAGTTACAAAACCAATATTAAACTATTTATTGATGGTTGCAATTCAGTACAATTCTTGCGGATTTTGAAACCCAATAGCACTGTTATTATATAAACTTTATGCAGGTCACACTGCTAGCGTCAATTGTTTTCAGTCGAGGTGCAAGGGATGTTTCTTTCACAACAGCAAATAGTGTTCACTGTCATACACTGCATAACAACTCGTTCTTACTTTCTAGAATGGATCATCTATGGCAAACAAATTAACAATATCTCAAGATGGATGTCTTCTGGGTTGTTGCGTCACGTAGTGTAATCAGGAACAAACTTACACACGTTTCAGAGGTCCTTCCTGCCTCCATCATCAGGGCCCTGATGATGGAGGCAGTAAGGAACTCTGAAACATCTCATGGCCTTGATGATGCAGGCAGCAACGGATTACCATTTGCAATCATCGTACCATCTGATGCTACATAGCATATGCAACTGAAAAAGAGAGATTAAATAAGGGAAGAATGCCGTATTCAGAACTCGCCAAAATCACACTTCGACTGGTTCAAGGTTTGTCCAGATGATTTGCCTGGAACATAATGGCACTAGATTGCAGACACTTTATGGTACACATCTAGCCCTCTATTTATACAATTTTTAATACGTGATCAGGTTAACTTAGCGTTAAATATATTAAACTGGCAAAATGCTGAGTTATTTATCATCAAATCACATGTGACTGCCACTCTGTTAGAGGACATTATAATAATTGACGCTGCCTCAATGATGCAAGGAAGTAAAATTATGTAATTGTTTATATGATCGTGTTTTGGGTCAGTGATAAAGACTCTTACCATGAACTATCTGATAAAATTACAAGATTGAGAAAGTTTCAGGACAGTGAATGCTACACATAACACAAAACTCCAAAAATAAAAAATAAAAATAAAAAATCCATAAATTTGAAACAGGAAAAAATAAAATTTTGAAAAAATGACACAGAACACTGCACATCAGATGTATTTCATACGAAAATTAATTAGTTACTGGCTACGATTGCAGTGACATGTAACATAACTTTAGGAATACGTGAATATTGATAACTCAGGAAAGGCTGTGGAAGGAGAATCTGGTAACCAGTTAAAAATTCCATATTTAAAAAAGGATTTCAGTAAATTATCCTGTTTGGCCAAAGAACGACGCATTCCCTTAATTCCTAATTTAAAATTGCTGAATTTACAAACACATTTCTGTTTCAAGTATAACTTTACACTTTCCCTGGAATATGTCAAATCATATTTTGTTTCAGCACTTTTGTAAATTTTATGCACCTAAAAATTTTCCAAATGGGATCTTTGAAGAGAGCCTGCTACTTTTTGTCATGTCCGTCCGCAAATAATAGCGCCCAAACTACGTGCCCTGTATTAAAATTCGATTAGAAGACTTACATAAAATCTTGTCGAGATGTTTACATTTTAAGGGCCACATGCAAATAAATTTATGTTTACGTGCGTGTCTTCAGTACTTCGGAGCACTTACAAAAACGTAACATAAGACACTCACGAACGTCAGCACTGTCAGTTTAAATTCACTCGATTCTGTTTCAAGGCCCTTTTTACTTAAGTGATTGGTGCGTGTTTGGAAAGACGTTTGCTATGCTTTTACCCGAAAGAAAAAATGTCGTGAATTAAAATGCTGTTATGCCACGTTTCATGTGTACATAATATTTGCATAAAAATCAACAACCGCCGCTAGTCATTGCCAAGTGCATTATAAAGTTTTGAATTAAAGAATGATTATAAAAGACTAAATACGCCAAATAGATATCAAGTAAAACTGATATTGTATTGTTATCTGTAACTGAGTATATTTTATTAATTAAACTTTAACGTTTTTGTTTTACGAAGATTTTATATTTTTATGCAACAAATGTTAATCGCTCAAAAAATGAAGTTTTATTATAAAATGTATATTTATATTCTAATTCTATTGTGCCGCAAATAAATTGGTATCTCAAGTATCCCGCGAGCCCCCCCACAAAGGTCGACAACTACGGACGTAACACGATGTTACTTACACACGGCTGCCAATGCCGCGCGCATAATTTTACCGGCAGTCCCTGTTGGCGTTTGGCGGCGATCAACGCGGCTTCTGCCGGGACCCGGGAAGAAACAGCGCGCTTAGGATTTATTTTCGTTTATTTACTGAGGTAGTTTTTGCGCTTCACGGACACGGAGCAACTAATCGGCATTGTTATAAAATTAGATTTAAAAATCTAAAAATAAATTTGAATATCCGCATTAGGAATTATAATCACACACATGCAACAGACTCAAAAGTTAATATAAAAGATAGTATTTTGAAGTCAACGTAACAATGACATCAATTTCGGGAATGCACCGTTCTTTGTTTCACCCGCTCGCCACGTTGAGGCACAGGACGTGAGCGGGACCTGAAACAATCAAAACAAACGAAAAAACGAGCCTCTGTAAGAACAGCAAAAAAAAAGCCGCAAATTGGAAGTATTTAAGACGATGCACAAAACTTACCTGTGTTGTTATAGAAGTTCATATTCTTCTCATTTCAGTTGCAGATCTTCACAATTATTGATTCATATCCTTAACAATGGAAAGCGTATAATTGAGAATACCACTTGTACATTGCAGCTGTCCATATTTTACACAAGTACAGCTCAATGAAACTTAAAATATTCCCAATTATAAGCGTCCTAGTACAAGGAATGAAAACATAAAAGTCCGAATAAGGTTAAAAACGCCATTTTCAAGCACGAACTCGTCGCAAAATAAAGCTGGTGATTTCGTCTGTTCAAAATGCGACTCTTAACTTGTCGGAACGACACTCCGCTGAATTAAAAAATGAAACGCGACGTGCGCAGATCAGCCTCTAACTATCCCCGTGCACTTCCTGTGCTGTTTCTAGCAAAGAACTCGTCGTCATTGTCAAGTCCAGAGTCAACTCGGCTTCACGGAAGGTGACGCCAGCCGAAAGCGAATGTGTTTCTGAGTCAGCACAGTTTCTGAATAAGTAAAATCCTAACTACGACGATGTTTACTGGCACGTGAAATTCAAACTGTTACGTCACTGACACCCGTTATCGACAATTAAAAACGTGTAAAATAATTTTTATTATTCGCGCGCATAATGCGTTTCTTTATTGTTAAAACATAACGTATCATTCTCTAATGTTGAATCTTGAGCTCACTTAACAGCCTGGAAAAACAATAAAATACACAAGAGACAATTATAACTTTTTACCTCATAAAAATCCTTATATCTTAATAGATTCAGACGGTTCTTTCAACAATGAAGTGAAAGACCGATAACAACAAAATCACTTTTTATTTTACATTAGACTGAATCTTTGTCCCAACAATGCGAGTTATTAACAGGAAGAGAATGCAAAAGTTCTTTTTGTCTGTCTCTCTCCTTCTCGCACTGATTTCATTGGTTGTGCCGACCGAACCTGTCAAGTTGTGCACCCTGTGATAAAAAAAACACACAGAAATATCAAACCCTTCTAAGTGAACGTCCATTGCGCCATGGACACAAAAGCTAAGTTCACGCGACCTAACATGGGCACCTATCGGGGAGGGCAGGGAGGACGCTTACAAACTATAAAAAAAAATGTAAAGTGCACAGGGTTGCCAACTTGACCTTAGCCAAACATGCCCTTGGTCGTTGCGGGCGCCGCGTCAAACACAAGTTGCCTGGCACGGACCGACGTGGTTATCGTTGGCCAGCCTGGGTCCGGGCTAACCTGATAAGACCGTGCCGATGCTATGGCGTACAAGATTTGCCGCTAGCACCCAGCCCATCCTCCAGCGGATGGGTCCTCAACCACTAGGGGTTCGGCCGACACTGGTTTGGTTTCTTAACGTTACTCTTTGCGCGTTGCTCCTCTTGCCGTGGTCCCTGGTTCGAAGTCTGGAACGCTCCGGCCGGTGAAAAAATCCATGGAAATTGCACAAAACACTGTCTCACATATACTCAGAGAGTCTTTACAAACGCGCACACGCACAAAATAGGCACTCCCTAACCACGCATTGCCAACCTGCCTGTCACATTTAAAATTCGCTCATCCGTGAACATATCGTCATCAAATTTTACTTAATCTAATAAACACTCCGTTTCAGATATTTTGTTTGACATTCCACTGGATTATGCTGGAATATAATAAGATATTAAAATCCGTCCAAATATAAAGCCATAAAACGTAATATTTCATCAGTTAACAGCCGTGTTGTAAGCTGTTCAGTATGACCGTGTAACTGGGCCTCTTAGAGACAGAACTCTACAGATTAAGGGGCAGTAAATCCTTTATAAAATAACTTTGTACTGGAAATTGACGACACTTCTTCTTTAATTTGCACATAAAACCGTTTCTTTGGCCACAGGATAGAAAAATCAAGAAAGTCGCAATGTCCTGGTCATCTAGCTAGGGTAGGAATGCCTAACCTGGGCGGACGAGTGCATATCTAAACGTCGGCACAATAGTGCACATCCTTTTGCTGCATATCTAAACGTCGGCACAGTAGTACACATCTTTTTGCACACTAGTGCATTATCTAAACGTCGGCATAATAGTGCACATCCTTTTGCTGCATATCTAAACGTCGGCACAGTAGTGCACATTCTAAAGTGAGCACATTAGTGCATATCTAAACGTCGGAACAGTAGTGCACATCATTTTGCACACTAGTGCATATCTAAACGTCGAAACAGTAGTGCACATCATTTTGCACACTAGTGCATATCTAAACGTCGAAACAGTAGTGCACATCATTTTGCACACTAGTGCATATCTAAACGTCGAAACAGTAGTGCACATCATTTTGCACACTAGTGCATATCTAAACGTCGGCACAGTAGTGCACATTCTAAACTGAGCACATTAGTGCATTTCTAAACGTCGGCAC